CGGTAATTTCCACGTCTTTCCGGCCGGTTTCGGCGGCTATGGACCGGAGGCGGCCCGGTTCCTGGTCCGTGCTGTCATAGACTCTGAAGAAACTTGAACCTTTTCCGCTTCGGCGATAAGATACACTTCGGACATAGCGTGGTCGCTCAATGTTCCCATTACTTTTGCGGTAGCAGAGACTGAATGAGTAATGAGTAAGGAGTGAGAGTTTCTCAAGACTTGGTATTTTCTATCTTTTGAAAGTTCGGAAGAGAAATCCAGCCAGTACGGGATAGGTTGAGTCTTCGAGAGGCCTGTCTTTTTCGCCAATGCAAGCCTGCGTGTGTTCCAATGAGCGTCTGTAAGCATGTTCCTAGATCAAAGGAGTGTGGTTCCAAGAAAAGCAACTCCCGAATGAAACCCAATGACATCGAATCAATATCTTTGTCCATCAATGTAAATATTCGAGGACAACACTGTCGAGCCTAGCCACGCTGGCGACCCTCCCGTAGAGAAATTCAAAAGTGACTTGGACGTGGTTATTCTGAGGGGTGTAGTCCACGGTGACTTCCTTCCAAACTCCCCATCCAGGGGCGTCCCGTGCATCGATTGTCCTCTTGGGCTGTCCATCGATCATGACCCCGATAAAGCCAGCGTCCATATTGTCGAACCAGACCCAGAAGCTCAGTCTGCAAGGGACGTTTCTCTGCACGGAAACCCGGGGGCTTTTGATCCTGGTACTGGTGACGGGTTCCTGGAGAGGCCTGTCTGCCAGTAGCTTCGATTCAAATGAAGTTGTTCCAGAGTGGGCCGACGCTGAGGTGAGACCAGCCTTGATATTCGGGTCAAGAACCTCGATCGTCCACGGGGCAATGCCGCACTCAAAGTCGCCGTTGGTCAACAGACCGCCGTAGGCCGCACAGGGAGTCGACGTCGGCGTCGGAACGGGACATGTGGGGCCGCATGCACAGGCAGAGATGTAACGAGCGGGAGCCGTGCCGCAAGCTGATGTCGCGCGAGTTGGGAAGTTGGTGGCAGTGATTCCGTTGGCTGTTATTGTGGCGCAGAATGCCGAGGCAAAAGACACCGCTGTCGGAGAGGGACAAGGGAACAGAGCTCGATAGCAACTTCAGATGAGGAAGCGTATCAGTAATCAATCGATTTATGAAGCATTTCACTTACTTGTCGGCATTGCACTTGGCCAAAGTGGTCGCAGCTCTGCAACCCAAAGTGAGGACGCTCAGAGCGATGGACACAGATCGTGAGACGTACATGGCAGCCCCAAAAAGGTTGACAGTTGACTAATCTATGGAGGACAAGAATAGCTTAGAGTTCAGCACATGAGCAAAATGAAGATAAACATCTTCGTTTATATAATTTGATGCCTCTCCGGTGGTTCAAGTTCACCTTGGGCAAGTTGGTTCCCGTTGCCTGGTATTTCTAACCGATGGAAGCTCAAAAGTAAGATGGCGACTGATCTCTCCGAACACGAGTTCAGCTCTCAGTAAGGGGTGTGTCTCAGTCGGGTGGCTGCATCTCAGCCGTTGTTACCTGGCGAATAGGAATACAAGACTTCGGCAGTAGTTTGAAGCCACTCTGTTGCGCGCGATCCGGGGTGATTTGGAGTGTGTAGGGGTGAGAAGTCAACGTCTGGTTCTTACTTGTATATCGCAGGAAGAAAGGGGCTGTCCTGACCAGAGACACATGAGCGGTTGGTCATCGTGGCGTTCATGCCTTTCCCGGAACCGATGGTCGAAAGCACGACAGAACATTGCCACCGAAGTTACGTGAGACTCAGTGAACAGAGGACAAACCAAGAATTGTGGATTCTACCTAGCATTCATGATGCAAAGTATTTCACACATTTTTGCCGACTGTGGGCTACCCGTACACAGATGAGCCAGGTTTTGTGTGAAGTCAAAACTCAGCTGCACCTTTTGGTCCTAACATCCAACCCATCGAGTAGAGCCTGGAAGAATCCCAGAAAAAAGTACAAAAGCCCCGACCCGTCTCGTTTTCCCCAACAGCGAACGTCCCTTCAGATGCTGGATCTTATCAAGGATGAATTGCCAGCAGCCACTGGTTCAATTCTCTTCGCTGGGGATGCATACTGTGTTGGGGATTTCTCGCAAGGTTATCACTTATGAGAAGCATTTCTGTGGCCAAGTGGAAGGAATGAAGCGCTCCGGCGTGACTGGAAAGGAGAGGAAGTCGTGAGTTATCTGGCACCTTCTGTCGCGATGTTTCGAGGAATCGTGGGTGGTTCCACTCCCCAGAAAAAACCATTAAAGGACCGAGCTTGGTACCTTCCTTTGGGCTGCACGAAGTGCTCCCAATGAAATGCCACCAAATATATTGAGCTTCCAGCCAGAAAACGGTGATGAAGAATTGGTCTTCAGAGCGGCTCCCCTTGAGGGTTTGCGTAAGACTCCGGACCATGATTCTGAGTTTTTGAGTATTTATTGGACTGTCGACCGACCTCCAGGATTCAAAGAAATTGCCAACGGCATGAGCAATGATAACGCATGCGTGGCCAAGGTAAGCCTTTCCATAGCTGCAGACCTTGTGAAGCCATCTCCGCGTCACTCAAGCGGAGACATCATTGACCTAGATACAACTATGAGACGCAGATGCGTGGCGTAGGAGCCGCCTGTAAATGGTATTTTGCGGAAGCGAGTCATCGTCTGTATGGGAATATGACCCTGGTTAACAAACGCTACTTTGCCGTTCCTGCGACACGGGACCACACCGCCTCTCACCTAATCAGTTTCCAGCGCACCATGCGCTTTCACTTTCATCACATTGCATACATGTACGTACTGTACTGTACAAATAATCCGTTGGGGTCCATTCATCATCAACAAGCAAGTGGACCAAGCATGCGTCGCTTGCTAGACGCAGTTCGAGGTCGAAAGAAGCCGCGCAGCGACCAGGAAATTGACTATTCGGAGCTGCCGCCACCACCTCTTTCTCTTCTTCCTGCTCAGCGGTCCCGGCCCATCACGCCTCCTGCGACGACCGCCACCGCCGCTACTGCAGACACCCTCGTCGCCGCGCTCGGCACCTTCGCCCTCCTGCCGCCGGAGCTGCGCCGGCGCGTGCTCGTGGCCGCCTTCGGCGAGCGCATACTACACCTAGATCTGCGGCCGGCCCCGTGCGGGCAACAGCCGAGCCCCTCGACGGCCCACGGAGTCGCGCACGAGCACGGCCGGGGGGTGGCGCCCGTCAGCTCTTCCCGCATTGTCGCAGCCCCGGCCGTCACGGGCGAGACGCTGGCGACGGCCGTCCTGCCGCTGTCTGAGGGCTACAAGACCAAGACCAAGACGGGGCCGGAGTGGGAGTGGAAGTGGCGCTGGTACGGCGGCGTGTGTCACCGTGTGATCCCCCGCGGGTCGCCCGTGGACCGCCTCATCAGAGCCCGCGGCCGCGACCCGTATGTCTGGCCGCACCGCGACGGCTGCCTCGAGGGCGACGCCATGATGTGCGAGCTGTGGCCGCGAGGGTCCACCGTGGACGGCATGGCGTTCCCAGAAAGGGACACCTGCGACTGCGCGGTCGGCGCCCTGGGCTGGCTACGGCGTGCCGGCAGGCCTACGTCGAGGGCATCAAGGTGCTCTACGCGACCAACACGTTCTTCATCCAAAGCCGGGACCTGCTGGAGGCGTTGCTCTGCCCCCCGAACGACGGCCGACGCCTGTTCCTCGGGCACCGCCTGGTCCAGATACGGTCGCTCGAGCTGCGGTGCGAGTTCCTGCTCTTTGGGGATTTCACGCTGCCGTTCATTGCGCGCGCCAGCGACAAAGAAAGAATGCGGTTGCTCCCGGACCTAGCCGGCCTGGTGGTCCCTTTCCCGAACCTGCGATCTCTCGTCGTCACTTTCCCGAATATTCTCGACAATGAACGGCACTCGGACCCGGACGCTCGCCTGCCCGAGATCGACCGCTTGCCCTCGCGTTTGCGCACCTCGCGCCGCAGCAAGAAAAGCACATTGTGGTGGAGCTGCCATCGAACGTGTTTCGCGACATCAGAGGCATCGGTCGCAGAAAAGGCCTCGGCCTCGAACAGGAGCAGCGAGGAGACGAGTGGGGCGATGGTAGGGGTCTTTGGCTAAGGTATGCCATCGATGGCTCGCTTTACTACTATATCAAGGAAGGGCAGGAGAGTGAAATCTATCGGCCGTGAGTTCGGGTCATTGAAGTAGACCCTGCAGCGTGGGCGTCGGCACGGCGAAATCGGGCGCGTCCGTCGACGTGGTGTACGCCTACATATTCTACATAACCATTCTCAACAGAAAGACAGTACAGGTACCAGAGCGGTTATTTCTACCTAATTTACTACTGTGGATAATAAGAATTATGCGAAAATCCAGCGATTCGTCAATTATCAACACTGAATACGATTGTGCTATTAAGCACCTGTCAGCTTCTGTGGTGCTCATCTCGTGATACCTCTCTGGTACAACTGTTACCTTTATCCAGAATGTTTCTCTCGACGCCCGGTGCATGCTGCCATCCGCTTCTTTCTTGGTGCCATCTTCGTATTGTTTTCCGTGTAAAGATTTTGCAATTGGCGATCTAACTCCAAGTTTGATACTGGGGGTGCGGGGTATGACCCTTGCCCGCATCCCAATGGTTAGATGTAGGACATCGGGATTTCCATAATCAAGTCTTCGATCACTTTCAAATTCATTGACAGGTGCTTTCAATTACCCCTTATGTCTACTCCCTCTGTTCAGGCATTTTAAGCGCTTGTCGTACGAGCTGTCAGGATGGGACATATAAATGACTCCCATCACAACGATAGTTGTAGATTTCATGCCAGCAGCCAGGATTCATTGCCAACATAGACAATACGAAGATGGCTCGTTTTCAGCTCTTTTACCTCGCACTCATACCACTCATCTTTCGATATGCTCGATCTCAAGATATTACCGCCAATGACTTGACAAAGTTGCCTCAGTTTCCCCACAAGCCCAGGACGTTCATTCTGACGGATATCCTCAATGAGAGCCCGACGACCAAATGTCAATGGTACGCTATCTGGCATACTCAAATGAGTTTGATACCAAGGGCCTTGTTGCTACAACCTCCATCAGCTTGCCAAACGAAACGCACCCAGAGGCTATCGAGCTTATTATTAGAGCCTATGGTGAAGTTGTTCACAATCTAAACAAGCATGTGCACCCCAACGCAACGTTCAGCCCTGCCGGGGACCTTTTGAAACTCGTGAGGTCAGGCCCAGTGGTAGGTGACTTGCCCCCTTCCTGGCGGCTATACATTGCCACTAATCAAGTTTTTGTTCTCAGGTTTACGGGCGACAAGCTCTCAACGAGTCGCTAAGCGACGGTGCCAAATTGCTGGTCGAAACGCTTGAGGCGGGCTCAGATCCGTTATTCGTCTCCATTTGGGGCGGAGCCAACACCCTGGCGCAGGCGCTGCAGTTCATCAGTACAGAGAGAACTCCAAATGAAGCAGCTGAGCTTCGGTCTAGGCTCCGCGTTTACTCGATCTCGGACCAGGACGATGCTGGGCCGTGGATCTGGGTCAAATGGCCAGATATCACTTACATCGTCAATGTTCACGGCTTCAGAGAATACCGATCATCCACGTCGGCGCAGACAACGGTGCTACCAACGTGACGAAAGTACAAGACGATTGGCTGACAACAAATATCCGGATCCGTCCTCTGGGCGAGGTGTATCCCAAGATTCACTATGGAATGGAGGGGGACTCGCCCAGCTTCATGTGGCTTATCCAAAACGGCCTGAACAGTGCTAGCCGTCCGGACTGGGGTAGCTGGGGTGGTCGGTACACCCGAGTTACGGAGGCCGAAGACATCAACGAATACGGAACATCCATGGACACGGCCGTTTCTGTGACAGGCGTGGATCACCAGAGCCAGTATGCCACTGTTTGGCGATGGCGCGACGCTTACCAAGACGACTTTGCGGCACGAATGCAGTGGAGCGTTACGGACAAATTCGAAGACGCAACTCACCCACCCAATATCAATGTCAACGGCTCCATCAGTCTCGATGCCGTGGAGATCTTTGTCCCGTATAAAGCTGCTGTTGTGCTAGATGCCAGAGAGACCTACGATTCTGATCACCCAGAAGACTTGACTCACCTCGAGATCGAATGGTATGCTTACAACACAGCCTCTATTGCTTGGGCCAGTGCATATCTCGAGGGACTCATTGAGATACGTCCGCTTTCACCGCTAACCGGTACAGATGGGTATCTTGAGGTTAATAATGCAGGATTCAGGAACGTCACGATTGGTCCGAGGGTTCAGATCGTGAACAATGTGCCGAGCTTCTCGCAACTTGGGGGAAGATCATGGCATGTTGTACTCCATGTGAACAAAAACAAGGGTCAGCATCCGGTCCGGAGGTACAAGCGAATCTTAATTCAGGATTTCGAGGGCAAGAATGATTAGAGAAACTAAACCTCTCCCTGCCTTGGTCTGTAGTCTAACAATTCACCTTCGACTCTAGGACTTTGAAAGTCGGAGGAAGTCATATAGCTGCTGTCATATCTTTCAAATAGCAATATCATCGGGAAACATGGAAATGGGCCAGAGCTCCCGCCTTACCGTCCTAACCTGAGAGTGTTGAAAGACCGGTACATTCGTTCCTCCTGCAGGGGAGTGAACTCCGAGAGACTAACAAAAACGTTAGCGATCCCCATGGTGCTGGACTAAAATAATTCAAACCTACCAGTCATGCTTCGAGTAATCCATGTAATTGTGAATGGGGTCGAGTCCAGGTTGATCCGGGCAGGAATCCTGCTCAACAGGACACCCAACCGTCGCAACCTGAGTCGCCGGGGTGTCGTCGATGTAGTCACCCTCGCCGTTGCAGTCGAAACCATCGAAAACATGGAAGAGCCCAAACCAGTGCCCCACCTCGTGCGTCGCCGTCTTTCCCTTGTTGTCTTCCGGGTCCCAAGGCACGCCTGGTCCCCCAGGCATAGTGCCGACACTCACGTGGCAGCCGTCGTAAGTGTACCATGAAGTGCCGTTGATTCCGGTGTTCCAAGGATCTTCCACCGGAAAGCTGCAAATTCCCGTCGCGGAACCGGCATTTGTCATCATGCCCGTCTCGAAGTAGATGTTGAGTTCATCGTAGCCGCCTTGGCGCAGAGCTTCGGCCTTCTCCTTGATACGGGCTTGACGGGTCCAGGCGTCATTGACGGTGTGCGACGTGTTCTTGACAAGGAATTGGATGTTGTGTGGGGCAAAGGTCTCATTGAGAACTCTCATCTTAAGAACTCGTTAGCGGTGAGAAATTTCCCTTATCGCGAAGGGTAGGATCATGCCTGGTCGTTGATCATCTTGTCTGTGACGAACCCTGCGTGCGCCTCATCCTCAACCACGTGAAGATAGGTAGGGATCAGCAAGCCCTCGGCCCTCTTACCGAGGAAGCCGCTGGAAAAGCCCTCTGCTCGATGTGCTGAACGGAGAGAAGATGCAGCTTGGACTGCTTCTGGTTCGGGAAAATTAGAGCCGCATTTTTCTTGAGCAGTGACGCGTGCGATGTTTGCTAAGGCAATCGAGTCGCCGAAAAGTGTCTTCAGCTTCATGATGTCCGCTGTCAGGAAATCAATGAGTTTCTGAGTGCCGGATTTGCGACGAATTAGTCGAGCACGGTATGCCCTTTTACATAACGTTGATCCACAGCAGTAAAGATCTAAATAGGAAGGTGTCTGCCGTGATGGGTTCATCACGCCAAGAAGCTCGTATTGCCAGATTGCTACCTTGCCGCCAAGGGAATCTGTCTCCTTTGCCGAGCTACTTGGGTTGACTGTACAGGTTGACGTGACCAGGTTTCGGCTTTGCTATTTTTAGGTTTCGGTCTTGTACGATGTCGCGATTCAGACCCCACGAGGCAGAGGTGATTGTGCTGGCTAAGGCCGACTACCGCAAGGGTGCTCCCGGCAAAATATCGCCCCACGATGTTTAATTCAACCCCACGCCTCCAATAGAATAGTCATTTTGGCGTCAGTCTCGAAACTAAGGATCAGATTATTCCATGGATCATCTGTATTGTGTGCCACTGCTCTGGCTTCTTGTTGTCGCATGGCCCTCTTGAGTGTCTTGGTAGAGATGCCCAGACGGTAAACAGCTAAAACGCACCAAAGACAAATGCAACCAAGAATGAATTAATCAACAGCCTGTATGGTTTGCCGGAAGTAGTAAAAACACCCACCGCTGCAAGTGGTTGCAGAGTATTGGCCATGGCCACCCCGAATATCTACTTGACAACGCGCCTTTGGTAGGATTGAGTGATGGCTTATCTCGGAGCAGTTATTCAAGCACTTAAGCATGACCTCCCCTCAGTCGGGGTGCATTTTGTTGGAAGAAATACGTAGTATTAGTGATGCGGTATCAGATTGGCGGTAATACCAGGTATGCAAACACCAAACGAACAGAGGCACGTACCGGGCCACACAATCATGAATCGAATGTGATCACGTCGCCTGCCGTCGTGATTCTCTCGTAATCACAAACCTTCGGTTTTCCTTATGAAAATCTGCTGTGAAAGGAAAGCCACCTGATGTGCAAGCGTTGGATGCGAGGTCCAGTGTAGACAACGGGGAAGGTGCCCTCAAGTATTGTTCGTCACTCAAATTTGTCACTGGTCCTATCGGATTTGCCTTGGTCTCCGAATGGTTATAGGAGACGTTCCTTTATCGCTCGCCTGCCGAGGATCACAGGTTCGGAGCCCCAGTAATTATTTTGAGTTTTCAGTATTCTGCCTAACTAGGCATCTCACAGGGTTTTACTATAGCAGCTCTAAATCTAAGGCTGACTTCCATAACGTGCTCAAACTTGCAGAGAAAGTTCTTTGCGTCTAAAATTTGCCCGGCACCGGTAGAAGGGATTCAAGGTCTCTATTCATGCCGCAAATCAGAACTTAAGGAAGGAGCTGCTTGCCGCCCAGGTCTTCCCACATTCAGCGCGACTACCAAAGAGCGGGCAATGTTTTGGACTGGCCTACTTCCTGTGCCTCACCTCACAACTTCCTGAATTTTCCTCAACCTCTCCTGCAGTCTCACCCGAGCTCAACAACAACCAGAATTACGCCGACGACAGGGAAATACCTAGCTGCAAAAGCCGCACCTCACAACATCTCTCATGGTAGCCGCATCCTCCGTAGTTCATCTTATCTTTCTGCTGATATTATCTAGATGACTGGACCAAGACATTGGCGGGATCCCAACCGCGACCGAGTTCAACACGAACCGGAGGACGAGAAATAACGGCAGCAAAACCGCGAGAGAATCCAAGATAATCTTCACCTGCCTGGATTTACTCTCCCCAAAGACGTCTTCGGCATCAACCACAAGCATTGGTGGAAGCCTCTTGTGGCCAACCCTCACAGCGTTGGATATGGCTACGGAATATTTCACCTTAAGAAAGCCAGTCGCGTGGAAGTAGCAGAGCGTCTGAGCGAGGTTTACGAAGCTGCACTTGCCGAACTTCGTTTCAAGGGCTCTCTCGGCCATGTCACCGGCAAAGTTGTCCGGGATCATGTGTTGCATCCGGATCTTTACAAAGCGATCCATAGTCGCCTTGTCACCATCAACAAGGACTGGGCTCCCCTTCGAGAGGACAAGCGCAAACGCGATCTCACCTATGGCATGAACAAGTACGATGAGGCCCGGAGAAAGTACCTCGCCCGTCCTACTCCGCTCGGAAGCCTGGGTGATGACGCCCCGACCTTTACTCGGCTCTGGTTCCTCGTCGATCGGTGGCTCGAACTGACAACCGACGGAAACACAGTCCTGAATCTCGACAATGGCACTTCGGCACTGATTGCTGGTCTCGACCCAGTCCCCCTACCTATGACAACCTCGAAATTCGCCAAGTGTATTGGTCCCCCAGACCAGCAGAACGTCAAAGCTTCTACCAATTCGAGTATCTTTGACTTCGCCTCGATTTATGATTCGCTCCGCAACGACATCGAGGATATGCTTGCTCGAGAGAACATCCAGCTTGCTCAGCGCATAAAGCAACTTGAAGACGAGAACAGCGTCATGCTGCCAGAGCTGAAACGTCTTCGAGCAACGGTCGCTTGTACTCGCGAGTCGCGCCTGGACAAATGGTCTTGGAAACTTCAAGGTTACAATGAGAAGCAACGACTGGAGGGAAAACCGTACTTTGGGTCTCGTGAAATGTTTGGATTCTTGCAATTCGTGGAACAGCAGGAGGCAAAGGAAAGAATTTGAAAGTCGCGTTGGGAACTGAAGAAGGGGTGTAATATTAGCTGGAGCGAGGTGCGAAAAGCAAAGGACTTCGCAGTCAGAATCCACGACCAGAAGACACTACTCTCAAGGAAAGAGCTACAGAATGAACATTCAGATCAGAGAATCGAATTGGAAGCGGCTCTTCGCATACCATTGGTCAGGCAGATGAAGAAAGACGTTTAGGCTTGGAATCCGTCGCAAAGGTTCACGCCAGAGCTTTCCGAGCTGCATAGACGAAATCGCAGATCACTGAGTTTCATGGACAAGCTTCGAGCTGGAATAGCATTCCAACACACTGGACTACCATGCCCTTCATGTCATGGCTCCCGTCTTGGCGGACGCATGCGTCTACTCAACCGCCGCTTCCGCAACAAAATTTTAAAGCTCGTGGTAGGTGGACTGCTACACGCGACGGAGTGGAACGCGATCCATGAGACATTGGGTCGATCGAATAGCTTGAGTCTGGAGGCACCGGAGCTTCTGCATGGTAGCTTTTTGTTAGAGGAGATGCTGACGCGGGAGAGTCGGGGAGAAAAGACTTAGAGTCTGACAGCTTTACAGTCATATGATTACTGATGCGTGTTGAACTTCCTCAGACAAACAAAGAGTTGAACGTCGATCTCGGGAAGACCTTTCATCGTTGACAAAATTCATAGGGAACGTGGCTTGGAAATCCTGACTGTGCTCTGCTTACGCGCTTCCGCGGCGAGACCGCTGAGAATTGTCATTGGCTCCTCTCCCCCCTTGTTCGATCTGACGACGGATCTGGACGAGTTCCGAGGGGCGACATTTGAGTTTGGGTAGACAAATGTAAGGAATGGTGCTTTTGTGGGAGGGTTTGGTGTCAAACGTCATGATTACTATTTGCTCCCACCTTCAAACACCGACGACGCCTTGCCGCATGCAGCCAGACATGACAGATCAATGTCGATATTTGGACGTTGTTTCAACGCGCAGCCACTGCCACCGCAGACAGATTGGACGCCATACCGCCATTCCCGGCGATAGGCGAGGGAGACAAGAAGGATAAGCCTCCTCCTTCTCTCATGTACATGCTGCAACCTTAGAGCAAGCGCCACTGGACCGTGCAGTTGTGGTTCACACAAGTCAGGCCTGCGCTAGAGGCGCGGTGGGACGTGGTACCGGAAGCCGGACCATGGCAGATTAAATGCTGACACCGCGACGCGGACGCGTGCCCAAGGACGGAGGAACGGGGCTTTTTGGGGCCGATTGTCTGGAGGAGGAGACGACGGACCGAGGGGAAGGTGACACTGGAGCGTTGAAGAGAGTTTTGCTGGTTTCTGGAGCTATCGAGTTGGTGTTGACACTCGGGCCGCTTCTTGAGGTATCGAGGCGGTTGAATTCCTGATGAACATGTCGTGAACATGGTGTGCCACCTCAGGTGAGGTGTGCCTGGCTACTGACAATTTAGCTTCGACTCATTTCAAGGCAAGGGGTTTTGGAGTTTCATGATCCATGGATGGAAGCTCGATGGAAGAGGGGCGGTCCAGCTTGACAGGATGGGGGCTGCGGAGTTGACAGCGGCAGCAGCAGGGGTTCGATCATGGGACATGGGTTCATCCTTTGAAAAGCAGAGTCAGACACCAGCGAGCATTTTCCCATCTTGGGGAGGAGAGGGGAAAAGGGCAAACAAACGAAGAGAAAGAAGTTTCGACTCGCAAATGTCTCGCCCAAACACTCGGCCCCCCAATCATCTTTTTCGCAATCAATAATTCCGCGTGAATGTCTCACTCGTACGACAAATGCATGCTCCCAACCCCGGCGCTAATCTTGATTGGATCTTTGATCGGCGGACAGGCGCTACCACTCTCAGGGCTACAAACGTCCTTCGGATGGTTGTGCCTGAATCATGCCAGCCTCCGGACGGCTTGGTGCAGATGGCGGCGGTGATGCATGGCAGCGCCGGCAACGTTTTTGTACGCGTGTTTGCGTGTGTGTTTGCAATGTGTTTCCCATGCATTCAGCTCGGTTTGAGAATGGTCCAGAAGCATTGTCGAAATTGCAGAAGCACATGCAAGAGAAATGCAGAGCACGGATGGCAAGCCGCAACGGCGTTTTCAGTCGCTCAGACAATTGGATACGATACGGAGGTGCGGCTTGAGGAAGAAAAGAAAGGGAGAACAAAATGCAAATGCATGGAAATGCAACGCTAAGGTTCGGCCCAGGGCCCCTGCGCAGGTTCGTCCCAAGGAAGAGGCAGGGGCCACCTTCTTCTCAGTGGACGTGGGTGGGTGCCCCCTGCAGCCTCCACGGCCTGCCTTAGCTTTGGCCCTGGGCTCTACCCTGCGACCTGCGTGGTCCTTTTCCACGTGGTGAGGATCGCTGCACCGATCTTGCATCTATCTACCTTACCTTCTCCGCCTTGTCGATTACCTCACGCAGGCTAAGGCAAGGGAGCACCATCGCCGGTTGCCAATGATTCCCACGAGGGGGGGATCGTCAGTGTTCCAGCCAGAGGGGAAACCTTCTTCTCTGCCGCTCTGCAGTTCGATCTGCAGCCAGCATCCTTCTCGTCGTCCTCGTCATTCGGCCATTCGTTGCACACCCAACGAATACCGGCGCCGTTGAAGTCCTCGCGGGAGCCGTCCTCCGATTCAAATGCGAGACCTCCAACGAACAATGGGAACAAAAGACCGATTTCCCTCCGCCTCCAAATCCTTCTCGGCTCTCGGCGATTCCAGAGCACCCCAAACTCTGACCACATCACCCAGCGGCGGTCCGGCACAGTCCTGCATTTGCGCGGCCAAATATAGCGACACTCATCCGGGGAGATTGGGGGCAAAATGTCATCCAACACGAGACCGAGGTACGGCCAAGCAGGATGAATGGTTCCTTTGTTCAATGTCAGAACGCGAGACAAACAAAATTCCGATCGCCCCAGGCTCCGCCAATACTCTTGCATAAGCCCTGCACAAGTTCAGCTCCAAAGGGCGAGACGGACCTGACGCTACACACCTTTTCTGTCTCGCAACACCCGAGAATGGTCCCAACGCCGGGACATGGGACGGCGCCCTAGGACATTTTTGCACAACCACTTCCATGAGGACGACTCGATAAGGCACGGGGTCAATCGGCGCCAACTGGAATCTACGGGACAGAATCAGGTGTTTCCTCATGCAGAGTCAGAAATAGTGCAAGACACTAACTGACGAGCTAAAAAAGGACCCTCCAACATGGGCTAAACCTCGAGCACTACCGCAGCCGCTTTGACTCGTTCGACTCGTCCACTCTACATTCGGCTGGCTCGCCGGTCGTCCGAAGTACTCGCCGGCTCCAAACTGGAGTCTCCAGTCTCCAACATCGAGCTACGCAATTCGAGTTTCGTTCCCTCTTTCCCGCCCAAAATGGCACACTGGCGCACGCCTCCCATCAGACGTGGCTTCTCCCCCGCAAACACCGCCATTGGTCATGGACTGTGGCAGTAGAGAAGGAAAGCCCTTGGCCGATGCAGAGAGGGGGGAAGGGTGCCGACTGGCCAGGAGCTGCCACTGACCGATTCATCGCAATAGCCCCATACCCCTTCGAGTTCGTTTGTTCGTCTGGTGGCCGCTGCTTTGGCCCGTGCGGCTGTGCGCGGTTTGTCTGCAGCGGCAGCGGCACCCACTCGGCCTCGTCGAGGCCTAGTCCTTGTCTACGGACTGATATGACGGGGTCATGGGCGCCGCAGCACATGAAATGACACTAACGGGAGACAGGATTCGTATATCACTCCAGCTTCTCCCGGATGCGTCTCCAAACCGGCCTTTTGTCTCTGCCCCTTCATCCGGATTGTGCCATACACATTCAACGACGGTTACACGACATTGGATAACACAAATCACACGATGCAGGACAGTCAACCCAAGATGGAGAAGGAGGAGGTTCAGACTACGACGGCGGCCACAACGGGACCCGCGACGACATCCGCCAGGATCGAGGAGAAGAAATCAAGGTTCAGCTTCCCAGATTGGATGGTCTGGTACAAGAAGCCCGAATACAGAGACTTTCGCGAGTATGCCACGGCTATTCGGACTGGAAGGAGACCCTTGAGCAGGGACGGGCGAGACAAGAGTCCCATCCCGGCCCGCTTGAGTTTGGAGAAGGTTTTGGCCAACGAGACCTGTGAGCATCCCATCTCCTCCACGCAACGCACCCCGAAAGCAAATGTCGACACCGAGGATTCAACCAAGAATACCTGCTGACCTTCCCCAAATAGGCTCGCCAATGTCTTTGTATGACTTTTACATGTACCTCAAGTACATTGAGTTTTCCCCTGAAAACCTGGAGTTCTACGTCTGGTATGTTCGTCCTTATCTTCATCTGATACCGACATCAAGTTTAACATTCTACCAGGTTCCGCAACTATGAATTGGCCTACGCCAAGACAGGAAGCCTCAACAACTTTCCTATGACCGAGAAGGAAAGTGATGCCTCATCATCCAGGGACAGTGCCATCGACAGCGCGATGGACTCCATCGAGCACAAGCTCCCATCACTGAAGATGTCAGAGTTCGAGTGTGATCCTGAAGCAGGTCAGTCATGCTACACTATCTAACTTGCATCCCGACTAACGCCTTTCAGCCAATGAGACTATGACCAACATTGTCCAGCTTATCGCCCCTGAAGCCGCATGCAGGCCAAACAGCAAGATCGGACCCAACGGCCGCGATCGCATCAAGTCATGGGCCAACGCCTGCGCTAAGCCTATCTGCTCGAACAACGTGGCCAACGTCGTCCCTGCCCGCATCGCACCCAACTCCGCCTACCGAGTCGAGCTCAACGCCGTCGTCAAGACCTTCCTCCTGCCTGGCTCCGAGAAGGAGCTCAACATCCCGCCCGCCCTTCGCGACCAGGCTCTTCTCGACCTCCAACACTCTTCCGACCCTTCGCATCTCCGCCCTATCGCTCAGCACGTTTACGGTCTCCTCAAGAACTGCTCGCACCGCAACTTCGTTAGACTCGGTGTTTCCAACGGCACCTTTGAGACACTGTGCATGGCAACGAGCATGGGCATTGTTCTGACCGTCGCTGGCTTCCTCTGTGTCCTCCTCCGAGCTTTCGTCCCGTTCATGGGATCACACAGTCGTTACAACGCCTTTGCCCCCTGGCCCATGTGGTTCGTCGGCATGTCTCTCATTCTTTCCGGTCTCAGGGGTAGCTGCTTCTTTCTCCTTCTCTTCACTCGACGTCAACCACTGCCATGGGAAAGATTTGACGACAGCGCATCCCTCATTTCTCAGAAGTCTGGCTTGATGAAGTTTGTTTCTCGGATGATGATTTTCGACCGCAAGATTCGTGTCAGGGACGTCCACCTCAGGAAGCTGCAACACAAGATTGTCACACAGGCCATGGTTGGTGGTGCTGTCTTCGCCAGTCTGTGCAGCTTGCTGTTTGTGCTACTACCTGTGTGGTCGCAGACATCGCTGGCGCAGGCATGAGTCAAAGGGTATTGAGGTGACTGGTGAAAATTGAAGACGAATTCTTGTATCACATCCTCTGATTTAGCAATGATATCCCTGGCGCGATGAACTTGAATCGAGATTTCTTTTGTGGTATGAACCATAGACTTGACTTGTATGGCATATGAAGTGATCATCATCATTCGGCGGTTTTACCACTGGCCGACGCCGATGGCTAATCATCACTATCTCAATCGCTAATTATTTTTTGCCTTATGCTCTCTGCAGCGCAAAGGAAGAAATCAGGACATGTAAAAGCTCCCCCACAGCTATCGGGTTGGCTTATCAAGAGATAACATCTGGTCTCCGTATATGTTCGCGAGCCTGGTTACGATTCATCTATCAAGATATATGCTCGTGATCCGATCTTCGAACATATGATACCATCCCTCATTACTACCATCGTCTTCATCCTGCATTGCTGGCAGATTATTCGAGACGAATCAAAACTGATTGGCCCCGTTTTAAAAGGTCCATTGAGATGGGTTCACTTGCAGTGTGTTGATGCCGCCGGCAAGCGACCCGATCGTTTCAGGCTCTACCAGAATACTATTGGTGGATGGTGGCACTGAGTTTTGTGGTTACCCATTGAACAGCATCTGTTGTGAGTAAGAGTGACTAGGACCTTATGCTTCGAGAAGTGTTGAATGCTTGAACTTTAGATACAGGAAGTAATTTAATTTGGTTGTATAAATTGGACGTGACTGACATGTCATCATGTAAAGACACAATAGGCGCCCTTCACCAATTACTCAATCTTGGAGAATAGTCTTCTCTTCCTAAAGAATTCTACCCCTCGGAGGGATGCGGGTGGCGGTTTCAATGGTGGATTAGTAGCTTAAGAGTGACCACCACCTCCGTTAACCGTCATCTAGATTATTCGTCATCGGCCGTATATTATTGGGGCGAGTATTGCCAAACAAGGTCTGACGAGTGTGTTTGGTAAGCTGAATCTAGTACAGGGGCTTGGCGGCTTTCGTCTCAGAACGGCCCGTGAGAATGATGTAGACACAGAGGACACGATCTATTCTTTGAAGAGAATGTCATGACGGACTGGCGACTTACATTATAAACCACATTGGGGTCGTGTCAGGATACCGGGGAGGCCAAGTCTGTGCTCTCCACCTGTGCGCTGTTACAATGCCGGTCAGATGCGGGATGTATTGCCCCATGTACCGAAAGAACATCCGCTAAATTCAAAGCATTTTACCTTTGGCCTTCATCATCAATACGGCGCTATTCGTTTGGGATAATATGAGGATCGAACCGCTGATGATTCTGCCACTCCGTGGATGTGTGACCGGAGCATGGTGCTTCAGGGCAGAGTCATGCCGAGCCCGCGAAGCAGAGCGAAGTCGAACGCTCACGCATGACTATTTCTATGTTTTGGAGTGCGTTAGTTTCATCACCGCGCTTAGACTCTTTGTATGGGCTGTGGAATGGAGCATATGGACTCAGAGCAAGACTCCAGTCTTGCGCTCGGTCTGGTGAGTAGGTTACCATCATCGAAAGGCAATCTTATCGCATGTTAAACTTTGTGCTGGAACCTTGGTATTTAGCATTGTCATTGTTCCCGACGTAAGCAAATATTTCAAACAACAAGAAGTCGCTGAAAAGCGATGAAGACGATTGCCTCGCAGGCGGAGACCTGGCGATTACAAGAGGGATGGATCATTGTGTTTCTTACTACTATGGGTGCAAATGATGTGCCCCAGAACAAGTTGATACTGGTGTGTCTCCGGTTTCCTTCACCAGCCGAATGCTATTCGGTAAATATTCAGACACAATACAGAGCGACGGTTTTGCGTCGGGGGTCGCAACCAATCAGGGGCCCTTCCGACTTTACGCGTAAGGCGCCCGATGGCTATGTTGATACACGGAATCCAAAAGCCTAAGTCATTGTATGAGCTTTCATCCCAGAGATAATGAACGGCGACTTCTATTCAAATTATTCCATTTGTCGTTCTATGCCCGTAGATCTCCGTTTGTATATGCCTAGCAACCGATGCGTCAAATTACAGCCGCGCAGGGCTGGAGAGGCATTCGGATAAGCAAATATTACACATGGAAGGACTGTCGCAGATAATGGATTATGAAATCTCCCACCAGACAGCAATGGCTCGCTGGACCAAATCTATCGGGACTGGGAGACTTGCAAGCTAGCGTAATTAACCTTTGATTTGGTCAACTAGTTGTCATGAGATGACATCGATGAGATTTTCAGCGTTCCTTGGCTTTTGTGGTCATGAGAATCTCCCTCTTATTCGCCGCAATACTACAATGCATTAGCGAGTGCCAAATCTTGGAACCTACTTGAGAAGTTGAGACCCCCGGCAAGAGGAACACCAGCAAACGCAATCAAGGAAGCATCCAAGTTACGCTGCAAGCGCAAAGTTCCGATGCATAGCTTCCTTAGACATTAGAATTATTCATTGTTGTCGCCTTTTCTCGTATATTCTTTGTCCTCAGGGGGTATATTTCTGGACTTGGGCATAAGCAGTACCATCGCACTTCAAATCAACTTCAAGGAAATAGTCCTCAGCAGAACAAGCCGGGACTTCCGACTTACAAGCCCGAAACTGCAGACAACACGATTGATTGGGAATAATTACACTCCTTTGTAACCCATTCGTCACTTTGGAATCCTCTTTGTGGTGTGGTCAGAATACGAAACCAGGGGAATTTCTGCCAAAAGACAAAGGGGTTGGTAAACAGATCTGTCGCTGAACAATGGATCGAGATGTATTACTATTACTCCTTACTGGCTCTCCTTCTCCAAGATCCAATCATTCACAACCTCGGCAATCTCCAGGCTGTTCTTCTCGATATGCATGAAGTGCCCATTGCCCTTGATTCCAATCTCTCCAAGCTTGATCCATTCCGGGCTACCACCAACCTGCTTAAGATAGTTGACCAGGCAGTGATCGTACGTAATGTGAACACTAGCCTCGCCGGTGACCATCAAGTACGGCACGCTGGCGATCTTGGGCAACTTCCGCGCGGGCTCCTTCTGCATGTGGCAGCTCCTCAGGGCCAGGGTCTCGTTGCCAACGACGACGGTCTCGAGTTCATCGGCGCTGGCAACGGGAGGGTCATAGTCGATCGGGGTGTTGGTCAAGCCCCACGGGTTCGTGGGCGTGCCGCCCAAAGTGATGTTGTAGGACCAGAACGGAATCGTGGTGCCCTCGAGGTTGATGTTGGCGGCAATGTACTGCGGGCAGTCGTTGGACAGCAGAATCGGCGCGCGGGCTCCAATGGAGTGGGATACGAGGTAAGCCTTCTCGCCCAACAGCGACAGCAGCTCGCATCCGGAGGCGCGGAGGGCATACTCCTGGGGCTCCCAGCTCCTCGTCAAAGGAATGATGGTCTTGGCGAACTGCTCGAATGTCGGATCGCCCTTGAGCCCCGTACCAGGCCACTGAGTATGCAGGTAAGCCTGCGGGTAGGTGTTGTACACTTCCGGGACCGTGAAACCTCTCTGAATACCTTCAGCCGCAGTGCCGGCGATCATTGTGAAGTTGTCCAGGTTGTTCTCAGAGGAGCGACCGACCGCAGCAACATCGACGAGATAAACGGTGTGTCCCAGCTGCAAGAAGTACGAGGCCCAGCCGGGGCGGTTGTCGGGCGTGTTGAGCCAAGTGACGCCTGAAGTACCTCCACCGTGGAAGAAAACCATGGGCTTGGCGGCAGCGACACCGCGACGGCGCGCGCGACCAGTGGAGACGGGGACGAGCTTCTCGACGTAGAGTTGGTCGACCGTGACGTTACCAGTGGCAGTCTCGATGTAGCGGCCGCCGACGTAGAAGAAGTCGCGGGTGTGCGCGGTCTCCTTGGAGGTGCACTTGGTGCTGATGGCGTTGACGCCGGTGCAGTTGCCCGAGGCGAGGGCCTGGGCCATGCCGGCGGCGGCAAGGATGGCGGTGAGGGACAAGCGGACCATCTTGGCGGAGGTGGTGGCAGGCGCGAGAGGGATGACCGGAGGGATAGGTGACAGGCGCAGTTGCGCGGGACTCGACTCTTACTTAAATCCTCGCGAGGCTTGGTGGTGGGCGAATCAACCGTTCGATCGGGTCGGGTGCGGGCGGGCGATCCCTGTTGACAGACTCCATTTTGCAGATTGCTCGGGTCCAGTGATTGTCGTTCCTGGCGCGATCAGCCTTCAAGGGGCGGAGATGGGGTTGCATTGGTCGATATACCCATGTTCGTTGGCCCACTGTTGCTGACTGCTCGGTTCAGATGATGAAGATGGGTGAGCAGAGGCATGAAGTTGAAGAAAGTCATGGCGTGGTCGCGTTGACTTTGTCCGAATTAAGGTGTGAAGTCGATGCGAAGTTCAAGTTCAACGCGCTTGCGCAGGAACAAACACAGGTCGGCAAGCAGCTGGCTGGGACGCGAGCGGCAGCCGCACGCCAAGAAATGGGGTCTTCAACGGCGAGTGGAGCCCTGGGCAGGCAGCAGCCTCTAGGGGGAATCGGCAAATGACCGCCGGACGTATTCGCCCTTTTCCCGACGACATCCCGTCAACATCATGTCAGAACTGCGGGGAGGCGGTCTGCACTGCATCTCACCAACGCCGTCTGGAGAACTCTTGCTGTTCAGTGAAACCCAATGCAACAACTCCAAACTACCCGGTCTCAGTTGTTCTCCTAATAAAATACGGCATTTGTCGTTACACTGCAAAAAATGACACCGAGGAGTTCAAAGATGTGTTTTTCATGATCCTGAAGCCCGTGATGCAGCAAAGTCAACAAAATTCAACTTTGTGTTCTACGTGACACATAAATTTGCTTGTCCAGTGATGAAACGAAGGTCAAAACTCTTGTCCCTGATCGGGGCGGAGTCTTGTTATGAATGCAAATTTTTAGCTGGTCGCGAAGTTCATCAAGAGAAGTTTTCGGCTTTGTGCATAAAACGTCGTTTTCTTGGATTAAGTCTTTCTTGTAGTTGACGGAAGTCTGGTCGACCAACCATTCGAATGAAACATAATGTTCGAAATTGACACAACACAGCGCCACGGATCAACGTCTCTGCCAGCGCGACACTGATCGATGCAAGACCTCAAAGTGTGAATGGCTTGGTCACTTCGGTAAGGATACTGGAATACGATGAGCCTGGAGATGATATGAGGGAAGACTCATGTAGAATCCTATAGAAATCCAGACATTCAACGTGCTCAAACATTAGTTATCGAGCAACAACTTTGAATCTTAATCGATGGGTATAAACCTGGACACTTCCCATCGCTTCGGAAGTCCTATTCCTCGCATTATCGTCCAGCAACAAACTCGCCATGACAAGCGTCAATCACCCTACAGCATCCAGACCTTGCATCGCGCGCCACCTACCTGACTTCAAATTTGCTACCTTCCTATCACTCATGGCAGCCGCCGGTCAATCATCACGCATCGTCGTGGTTACAGACGCAGACACCAGATCCATCTCTGACGAGTTGCTGGATTGTATCTCATCCATTACGAGAGCTAAAGACACTATTAAAAGCACTCTCCACCCGCTCCCGAACTTTATGTTCCTTGTTCTCAGAACCGGCTCCGTTAAAGATCATATTAAACGACTTCGACAAACTATTTCTTCAAGGTTTGCTAACAACAAAGTGCCCTGTACAAAATCGGACTGACTTTTCAGTGTCCTCAACGCAGAACTTGCAAGGGAGAATCAGGCATCTCTCGAAGCGGACCCGTTGGCTCAGTTACGTCCGATGCGCAATCTCGAGACTGGAAATCCAATCCGTGGCTTCCCCGCCACGGCCTCTGCATTTTGGGCTATGAGCCGTAAGTTTCCATTTCATGTATCCTAGATTCTTTGCGAGGGCTAATGTGTTACAGACAACGACATGCGGCGAATTTGTGCTGCACTTGTGCTGCCAAGCGTCGATCGTGCTAATGGCCCAGTTCGTATGGACCTCTGGAGGTACACAGTTCACTATGAATCCACCGACTGAAGTACCCCTGTAACAATGGTCACAAGTCACCTAGAAGCCGGTGTGGTTATCTGATTGAGGTTGCAAAGTGCAATCAACATTTGTTTTGTGTTTACATTTGATCTCGTTGTGGATGGAGGTATGCGTGAAGAGACTGAAATCACATTTCGGCCAAGGAACACTCGATAGACCAAAGAGCGCAATGTTTTATTTTTGAAAACTGACCTTCCTCCCTCTTGACATATTTGCAGCACCATAAGTTTGGTAGAGGCATTGGTGGTGGGCACACGGGCCTCATGGAGACGTTGAAGTGAACGCCCATTTGGCCGATGGACCCACATGAGGCCTGGTGAATGAGAAGACATTCAGTCTCGCCCTCGTTCATCAGGTTCCGGTTGGTCACCATGGCAAGTCAACATAATTACGAAAGCGGTGTAGCGAGAAATTCCATTCTCACCTCTCACGTGACCCAGTCGAGGCTCTTCTTTTCCCATCCCGTCTCAGGCGCCTTTCACCTCCATCTCTCACTCCTTCAACACCGTCGCGACACACATCACGATCGTCCAAGTATTCGCTCCCAATCCATCCCGACTTCTGCCCGTCTTGAAAGGTTCGCAAAGACTTACAGACGAAAACTTTTACGCTAAAAGAATACAGATCATCGGTTCCATCGCAACCCAAGATCCGTCGCGATGCCGCACCACAAACGCCAGCTCAGCGATGCTGACCAGCAACGCCCCCAGCCCAGCTTTTCGGCCGCCGCCCTCACTCAGATCGATGCGGCTCTTCGTCAGGTTGGCTTCACCTTCGACGATGGACTTGTGTTTGCCGATCACGAGCACGCTGCTCTTCGTCTTCTTCACCTTGATCCTCGCGAGCGCCCATACGATGCCTCGGAGAAGAACGTCGCCGTCAGACTTGCCATGATCTTTGAGGCCGCCCACAAAGTGGCTTCCGAGAACCCTGGAATTGATGCTCGGTCTCCTGAGTTCTGGCAACTGGCTAAGACCACTGCGCTGAAGGTTGACAAGACTTTCGAGGATGCCCATGAGTCTGACCTTGCCCTCTGCTACGTCATCATCACCAAGTTCCACGCTGCTTTGAACCGCTTCGGCCGTGAAGACTCTGAGACAGCTCAAAAGATTCTGTCGCAGCCGCTCATGGACACCCAGGAGGCCAATGCAACTCACCGCCTCTACCTCGCCATTGCCGACTAGGAGATCGCCATGGAGAGTGTCGAGAGTGCTCCGAGACCTCAACAAGAGCAGAAGACCGGCAAGAAGTCCAAGGGCGAGCGCGAGGTCGATGAGTACATGAACAGCGACGGTTACCTCAACAGCAACAGCCCCGTTAGCCCTCAACATCTCAAGAAGCACTTGCGGGCTTTCCTTCGCCTTATCAACAAGCAGCACAAGCGCAACCTTGTTGATGAGTACTCCTGAGGTAAGAAGGAAGGCTATGACAGTGGCTTCACAGCAGGAGCGGCTTCGAACGCTTTCAGTGACGACCTTCGCCGACGCGCCAGCCAGGCCGAATATGAGCTGGGAAAGAACAAGTACGAGATAGGACTTGCCTTCAAGGAGTACGGCCTCATCATTGAGGAGCAGAAGGAGTTGCGCGAGGAAGTCAAGGAGCTGCGCGAGGAAGCCAAGGAGCTCCGCGCGGAAGGTGCCGATAAGGATGCGAAGCTTAAGCAGAAGGAGCTCGAGATTGAGGAGATGAAACTGGCGCTGGCTCGTTCTGATGGAGTCGACTTGGATGAGGGCGATGTCTTCGACGATGAGGACGACGAGTATGGCAACTACGAGGAGGAGGTCGAGGACAAGATCGAGAACGAGGACGAGGACGAGAATGAGAGCGAGGGCGTTGTTTGAGTACTACGGGATCTCGCGCTCAGAGTTGCCCCAGATTTGTAACGCCAAGCACGTGTTTTGACTGTCATCAAGAGGTCGTGTGGCTTTGGCGATAGTCGATGGCACGAGAGTCTTGTTGCTGGAATCCTTTCGTCGTCAAAGGTACGCGGGAGGAAGTATGTGGTTCTCCAGACACTGTTAGGCTACTAAAGTCGTAGTCTTGAAGAAGGAGTTTGACCCCTTGAAGTCTAAAAAATCTCAAACACAACACAGTAGCCGTGATATACATCTCCAGATCGGAGTAGCATTTTTATTTCCATTCTCCATTCTCTAACCGCAGCAGTAGATCACAGAGCCAGCGTCAAAATGTTCAACTCAAGACTTTCCTCGGATGTCGGTCAAGAAGAAACATAGAAAAAAGATCAACGGGAGCAAGTAGCACACGGAAAAAGAATGAAAAAACAAAAACGAGCGACCCGATGCATTATTAGACCCAAGGGCAGACGGTAAATTCGAAGGATTGAAAGTCCCACACCGAGAAGGCCGGATAGCTTCCGAAGGAAGTCGAACAGTAAACCGTTCGATTACCAACATCGACGGAAGCGAAGTGTACAATTTCGATAGATAACGCCTGCTGCGCGGCAGCGAGCGGTCGTGGTGTGGGTCCTCGATCTCACCGCGGTGGCTTTCATTGGCTCAGGCGGGCAGCTGTGTGTTGTTCGCGACCCACTTTACTCAACTTCACCTCTCCTACGCCTGGCGCATTCTGAGCAACTTGAACAACGGAAGGCGCGCTGATGCTTATCTAATCTGTCAAGGCTCGTTCCATGAGATCAGCATGCTTGGATTGATTAACGTGGACAGTTTTCCAGACGATACCGCCTCATTCTCCAGTGGTTGAGCGATCACCTTTCCTGTGTGCTCGCCATCGTCTTTGCTGTTTGTAGTCGCTGTTACTGTTATTGTTACTATCGTCGTCGTCGTCTATCGTCCTCATCGTCTATCGTCGTCAGCTATCGTCGTCGGCTATCGTTTTCTGCCTTCTGCATTATGAATGGCACATGCGCTTTTACCATCTCGGTCTATTACGGCGATTTCCGTCCTGGGTACCATATTTCTCACCTTCGGTCGCTGTGCTCCACTTTGACTGGCCTGAATACGGGCCATGTTCACGTTTCTCTGTTCACCCCAAGTGCTGAGCCTCACGCTGGGAAGCTGGGTGATGGCCCCACTCATCCATCACCTCTTTCCCGCTCAACTCGGATTTCACATAGAAAACTTCTTCCGCTAAACTTCTCCTCAAATCTCCAACGCGAGGGCTGAGTGGGACGAAATCGACGGCCACAGTGTCTCGCAAAGAGCGTCACATCCTCAGGTAAGTTGATTATAATCATTTTCGTCATCCTTTTCCACTCATCCGGACCACGCGCACTGGTGAGACCATCCCTGATGAAGATTCACAGACGTCGTGGACTCTCCCACCTTCGCCATGGCCAAGTCAGATGGCCCGCTTCGCGATGTGACCCAAGTCGCCATCTGCCCCGATCAGAAGGCGCTATCCCAGATACCCTTCATAGAGTTCATCATCGGCACCAATGGAATCGTCATTGTCAATCCGAAGACGCCGAGTCTGACTCTCTTCACCCGTCCCTTCAAGAACGATCCCGCCAGCGCCACCAAGACGATTGCGCGCCGCGCTACCGAGCTGCTCAATGCGTACTTCGCCATCGTTGATGTGGCCCACGAGAAGAATCTGAAGGCAGCGCGGCAACCGAGCAAGGCCTGGGGCTTAGCATTGGAGTATCTGCGCACCAAGAACTGGCCTGCCTATTCAGTTACAGATGAGAAGATGCAGCTGGCCATGGTAGCCTTTGCGGATGCCCGCATGCGCTACCTCGATAACGGTGGCAGAGGAAAGAAGGTTCCCCTCAAGTCAAGCTTCTTCAAGACCCTCGCCGAGTTGCTGGACAAGTTCAATGAAATGCGTTACCCTCCCGCTCTGCCTCTCGAGTGCCAGACCTCCGAAGACGCCACTGCTTCTACCGCGCCATCAACGCCAGCCGACCTCCCCTCCCGTCAAGCTACCCCCGAAGGCACAGAAGACTCCCTCTTCGTCAGCAGTCCCGAGCCTAACGACCGCACCGCTGCCTCTGGCCCCTTGCCTCTTCAGCATGATGACAGTCTCACGTTCTCGCTTTTCGAGGAACTTCAGCAAGTGAAGGACGATTTGGAAGAGGTCATGGCTACAATCGTGGAGATGGAGAAGAAGAACAAGAAGGAGAAGGAGAAAACCAACGCATGGTCTGGTGCGCTGTACTCCCGGTCATGAACGAGCTCCGGGAGCTGCAAGGTCAGCCGGCCTAGGGACCCGACGACTGCGAGAAGTATCTTCTAGGCCAGCTCTGAGACCGATACATGTTTTCGGGCCCTTCCGTCATGTGCATTCGGCAAATGTTCTACCTCTGACGAAAGTTATGACGATGATACTTGGGCGATGGGGCAAGAATCACTGGTATGTCTGAAAGAACGCGATAGCAAACATAGAGTTTTATTAAGACGGAAGTGTTCTCCGTAGTCTTCCTATGTACTTCGTGACTTTGATGAAGACGACGATGGGGGATGACAGCAGGGGACGACACGATAGACGACGACGATAGCGATGATAGCGAAGACGAAAGCGAACAGGAAATATGGTCGCTTGAGTATAGCATACGGATTACACGCGTGCATGTGGAAACTGCCTGGATAGCTGACTGACAACGTCTAGGTAGCAAAACTCCTCTAAATATACAGGGAGATCCATCATCATACCAACTTTGCAAAGTCTTTAATATTCTACATGGAGTACGGTGAGGAAGGAGGCTGATGTAAAATTATTTATTCAAAGCTTCTACCAGGTAAGAAACATGCAGAAAAAAAAAGATTGGGGTGTCGCCACTACCCTGAGTTGAACCCTGGCCTTCTCGCTCTTAGCGAGGGGAGATTTTGAGGGCCCGATCGGGTTATGTACTTCGTGGGCGCGCTACCACTCCGAAACCTACGGCGCGATACCTCGTCCTCTCACATTGGGTTGCGAATTTGGGCAGCCAACCCCCTTAAGTAGGCTGTTGCCTGGGGCGCAAGGCACCCAGCCACGACAAAATTTCCCAATCGCGTGCACTTTGTGCAACCCCCCAATCACCAGCAGCACTTCTGACTGCAATGTGGGCCTTGCCTCTGAGGTACTAATGCCAACATTCTTCTGAAGTCTCCACGACTTTGCTCCCAAATGAGCAGTTCCATCAGTCTGTCTCGTAGATCAATAATTTGATGCTGGCAGAGCACTAAGGTTGACTGAGAACTCGTGTCAAAGTGTATTACTTCTCCCCTGCCCATCGTCGTTTGAGGTGATCTTCATGTTCTTGTATAGCGCTGGATACGTTACAAATTTCGGGCTGCGGTTGGGCGTCCTGGGAATAACCTGCAGCTTGCTTATGTGTGCAAATTCTCATGAGACTTCCACTGGGACGACGGTATTACACGTCATCATGCGATGGCATTTCCAACCCCCTCGCCTCGACCTACGTGGAGGGAGTGGAGGTACGCAACAATAGCGAGGAAGACTACAGGAGGAACGATCGCGGGAAACGACTGTACTGGAATGATTGCTGACTTGGATTGGACAGCCTCGTGAAAAACATAAGGTCGCGAAGTACTTATTCTATGTCAAAGCTACGTTCGGCTGCGCGACAAGTCTGGCAGTGTTCCATGGTTGCGATGAAAAGCTGGAAGTAAAACCGAGATGACGAGAAGATTCTGCACCCTAGCAAGGGGCGACTCGTGATTGAGCAGAACCAAGAGGAAGCTGTGGCAGGCTTATTATGGAAGATGTTGAGCTGTTCGTACGCATGTGATAAAAGAAGACTGAGGCTCGAAAATGAGAGACAAAAACACAGAGGTATTGCCACCACCTGATACGGAACCCTGACCCTCCTACATTTAGCAGGGCGAAATCTCCCGAGGGCCCGATGAGACATCATTACCGAGGTGGGCGCGCCATCTGTCATCCATCTACAGAGCCATTCCTCTTCTCTGAATTGGGTCGTGGCGAGTCGACCGGACAACCCCCTTAAATACTGCCGCCTGCGGCAGCAGGCAACGAGCAGTCCAATTTCCGGCTTAACTAGCCGTTCGCAGGGAGTTTGCTTTGAAGCTGTTGCGCCAAACATCGCGCATGGAGCAGCATCGCCAGCAACTCCACCACGTCGGCTCCCGGCGCTGGCTTGCCCACCACACGACGCATCAAAAGCAAGCAACTGCATTCCATGCAATAATGGTCTGAAAACATATTGAATATGACTGAACTAATCAATTGAATACTATGAAACTACCGAAGATTGTCTATTTCTCAAGTCTTACGCCATGTCGAAACTCCGTTCATTACCCATTTTCCAGGCCAAACATGACGGCTTTTTACTTGGTCGGAGGCAGAGGCTGGGGAGTCGGCTTGGGAGGCGGGCCAGGCTTGGGCGCAGGCTTGGGAAGGAAGGGTGCTCCGAGAGAGGGAGAGTTTGCCATGTTGTCGAGAGTCTTGGCTGTCAAACGTCTGTTTTCTGCTTGAATGTTATGGTGCTTGGCTTGTGTTGTGTGTGTTTGTTTGAGAAAAGAAGCTGCTTGACTTGGGCTTTCCACGAGACATTTATACTTATAAACTACCATTCCATCGGTTCACCGCAGAGTAGTTCCTCTCTAAGGTGCCGTGATTCATTTACAATCCAACAGCGCTCCAAGTGCCTTACATGCCGAGTGAATGACATCCAGCCATTTGGCATGCACTGTGTCGCCTTTCGCGGGATATTGCTCTGTGATGAATTGCTCACCGCCTTCTATGCTCTCGGTTGGCGTTGCGAGGGCGTATCTGTGGTTGGTGGCTTCGTCGAACGCCTTCCGCGTCCTCGGGAGCATTTGATGAGCGGGTTTCTGGTCGCATAGCAACACCAGGAGCCTGGCCGTTGGAGTCTCTCTTCCTCTTCTTCCACTCCCTCGCCTCCCACTCCCTTTCTGTCCGCTCTTTTGCGATATCCTCGTTCAACTCTCTCTGCTTCCGCGCTCTCTCCTCCTGCTCCCTCTCATTTTGCTCTCTCTCGTTCTGCTCCGTCTCCTTCTGCCTTTTCTCCTTTTGCTCTATCTCCCTCTGTTCTCTCTCCTTATGTTCCCTTTCCTGCTTGATCCTTTCTTTCTGTAGCATCTGCTCCCGATCCTTTTCCTTCTGCTCCCTCTTCTTCCGCGCTCTCTCTGACTTATCTAATTTCGCTTTCTGCTCCCTCTCCTTACGCTCTTCATCCCTCTGCTCCCTCTCCTTCCGTGCTTTCTCTATCTTCTGCTGTTTCTCTTTCTGCTCCCGCTCCTTCCGCGCTCTCTCTTCTCGTACTTTTTCTATTCTCTGCTGTTTCTCTTCCCTCTCTATCCGTTGTTTTACCTTGTCCTCCCACTCCCTCTGCGCTCTCCGCGACTTTTGCAGTTGTTCTTTTATCTCCTGGAACTCCTTCTGCTTCTGCTTCCACTCCCTCTGCTCTCTCTGTAGCTTTAGTCTCTTCTCTTCGAGCTCCCTCTCCTTCACCTCCGTCTCCTTCTGCGCTTTCCACTTCCGGTCTTCCTCCCTGCTTTCCTCAACCAACTGTCTCTTTGTCGATTCTTTCCATCGTGAATGGAGCGGATCGCTTGCGATAGCCCATCGTGTCTTGGCTGGGAACGTAAGCTCATCCGAAATCGCACCTCGATTCTTCGTCATCGCAATCCACTTGTCAACATTTTCGACAAACCGCCTCTGGCTGTGATCGCCCTTCGTCTCTGTTGGGTCGCCGAGATATCTTTCGCGGGCGGCCACATAAATGTCAACAAGCTCACGGATCTGCTCAGGCACAAGTTTTGTCTTCTAGATGGGGTTGGTTTTTCCGAGAGTCATCTGAACCTGCTGCCACGTCAATGGCATCGTTTGGTCCATTTCCTCTTGGTTGTAGAGTACACTGAACGCTGCGGGAAAAACCCCTTCGACGTGGCCAGACACATGGCGGGGCATCTGGGCCTCCGGCACGCAAACATCGGGGCCCTTCGGATCCAAGTTGTCATCACAGGCGCCCAGAGCAATGGCTAAGTCGGCATTCCTGTAGGTGATGACGTCCGCTGGGAGGTCGAGTCCGGGATGCCTGAGGTATCGTTGGATGCGAACAAGCTGGCCGCTGGTGATTATGTTCACACTGGCTGGGAATCTCGGGGTTGACGGCCCTGTCTCAGAAGACTGCAAATATCATCAGCAAGTAGAACGACAAGGTATTCGGAGTAAAAGGGCAGCAGGTTCATACCGCGAGGCCCGTTTGGAAACTTTGCGAAGAGTTCTGGCCGATGATAGAAGACGACGTGTTGGGGCTAGATCCCCCATTTTCGCCTTCGGCGCGGGATGATGCCATCTGCTCTGGGCCAGATTGCTTCCAAGATCTAAAGTGAGGCAATGGAGCTATACATTACCAGCAAACCTCGTGGAACAGACAAAGACTCGTTTGCAGGTGCCACCGAGCAATAAAAGAACAGAATCTGGCGATAACAAATGCTTTGAAGCCAATTTGTGTCGTATGAAAGATGCCTTTGGTAACAATTACAAAAGAAAACAAAAAGAACCCAAAAAGGCCGAAGTTGATGTCTCTGTGTTGGTTGCTGCTTGGATGTGGTTACTTGTGAACAGAGAAAAGGAAGCGCGATAAATTCAGTGCCCAGGGCCGAGTGTGGTTCCAGTGCCCTCGGCGAGAGCGTGGTGCCCCACACAGGAGGATGCCACTGGCCATCCATTTGCCTCGTCTTTGACCTCAGCTCTCACCGGGAAAACATCGAACTATGTAGGGCAGCTACCTGGCTTCATTGGCACCTGCCTTGGATGCTGGCAAACCCCCAGGCAGTCTGGTCTTCTCCCCACCGCACAACACATACATAGATCCAAAGTGACTCGATGACGATTTGGTCTGTAGTCCATCGTTGCATCAATAAACCCTCTACGATACTCTCAGCAGCATCTCACATCGCAAGATTGTCAGGTGACCGTTCATGCCCCATCCCGCCGATTCGTCGGGTTGCGAGGATGGACCTCTCGTCGTGTATGTGTAGCACATCGACATGATTTTGACGGATCGCAGCATGACATGGCTTGTCCTCCGACAGAGTCCACTTATGTGCTCTCCCCGATGTCTGTCGTGGCACGGAAGCATTCATCAACCACCATCCATGGGTGGACGATGCGCTGAGCTCGGGTTGAACGACAGGGGGCTGATCGTCAAGTTGGCACGATATCATAAATATTTCCAATTGTCTGGCGGGACAACATTGACATATAAAATGGACCCTTCATCGACCATCGCAAACAACCAAGGAACTTGAACAAAGTATCAGAATCGAGGCTGAACTCTCAACCGACGATGTGCCCTGCCAAATGGTTCGCCTCAAATTCAACCATGGCATCATTGATGTGCACTCGCATCAGGCCGCAAGATACGCCATCCCCGAACGAGAAAAAACGACTGACCAAGTCGCGCGAATGGACTGACGATGGGAGAATATTCCATGGAATCTGACTTCTCTCAGGCACCCGTGCTACTTTCGGACCTTTTGTGCATCTGAGACGGTCGAATCATGTTTCAACGTCTGATCTCTCCCCCACGATCGTGCAATTGCAAACGCCCACGAGCAAAACAGCCCCAAGATACCGAGCGCGAGTCGTCCTCCAGCCGCCAGGACGAGTCATTCTGTTGCGGAGCTGGGCTCTCCAGTGCTTCCGGGACGCCAACGTTTTGTCTGCCTTGTGCCGCAAGTTCGTTTAACCACCCTGGTTCATATCACGAACCACACAAATGCTCCTCGCCCGGAACGAGAGATGGGCCCCGAGCCAAACCCAACTTCGCAGGCTCCACTTCAATCGCCGGGATTTGCCAAATGTGTTTGGGAAGCATCCCCCGCAGAACGGACTCTCCGAGCATTTCATTTTTTGATCACGATTGGCCTCCGCCCTTCCCCCACAAGCCGCACGCTAAGCAGGGATGGATGCCAGACAGCGGGTGAACAAAGCTTCAACGCTCGACCTTAACCCACGGCGTGAACCGCAACACCATCTACGCCCCTCTCCCGCGGGTGATCAGTATCCTCGAAAAGACGCACCCATCAGAACAATTCGATTCTCAGGGCAAAGGGGATAATTATCATTGATTGTGCCCATCAGTTTGACATGAATCTGTCAACGGTGGCGGCGACACAAGGGAGTGCAGCCTTCGCCAACTGCCGATGGCACGGACGTCCTCCCCCAAAAAGGCTGGAGAGGTAAGCTTTTCCAAGCTTTATATCAGTCCAGACACAAGCGCTAACCTTCTTGGCAGCCTCACTCTGTTAGGCATGGAAGCCAAGCCATGCGAGCTCTGGAGCGAACCCACCCATCCATGCCAACCATCGTTAGAGTTGGCGAATCTGTGTCATCCGATCGGATCCGAACTCAGAATGCAGGGGAGAACGCATTATCCCGCTAGAAGGGTGGGAGGGCACATCCAAGAGGAGCGGGTAATAGAAGGGTTGCAATATACATAAGTTGTTGAGGGGGTGCGCATTCTTTTCGTATATCGTCTCGTCGCAGACGTTCGCAAGGGAACGAGGTGTGCGATTTCTCTTGCTAGACGCCACGGGAAATGGTACCACGCCATACTGGTTCGTCAACAGCACAACGATAACCGTCGCCATGACCGGCGGCGACGCTGCAGTTGCAGATGCCTTCCAGGCCGGTCGCATACCGCAGGAGATCAGCGTCGCGTACCTCGATGAGGATCGGGATACGCCGTCGATGGCGGCGTCCATCGCCATGTTCGTGTTGACCCTGGTGGTTGTCAATGGCCGCGCCTTTTCGAGATTTTTCCTGAGGAAAAGCTTCGGTGTTGATGACGCGCTTGCTGTTATCGGAATGGTGAGGACAAATTCAAGGTGGTGACTGAGTACTAGTGCTAATACGATGGTGACCAGGCGATGTTCATTGCGTTTGTGCCTCTATGTATTATTCTCATCAACATCGGATCGGGTCGGCACTTTGAGTATATCCAGTATGTTATGACGCAGGATACCCTGGAAGAAACGGAAATTCTCGATTTTACGGCGCATCTTATCTATTCGACGGCGTTGCTTTTCTGTCGGTATTCTGGACTGGCGTTTTACTATCGCGTGTGCGGAATTCACAACGGGTTTCTCCGATCGATCAAAGGCCTCGCAGGTTTTCTCTTCGTCGGGTGGCTGACGCAGATGCTACTCATCGTCTTCCACTGTCTACCGGTAACAGCCATCTGGCCGTACGAGTGGCAAACACAGTTCAACCAGTTCAAATGCTTACCTTGGGGCTTTGTGTACGGAATCAACTCCGCCGTCTCGTTACTGTGCGACTTTGTGTTGTTCGGAATCCCGGTTGCCATGCTGAGGATGCTGGAAATGACGAGGAAGCGCAAGATCCAACTGGCCTGCATCTTGCTTCCCGGTATTCTGTAAGTCGGATATATCTGCCCAGGAGAAGAGCAACAATTAACGTGAGCAGTGTCGTCGCCATCTCTGTTGTCCGTCTCATACTGGTCATCAACGGCCAATGGCAGCCCGACCAGTCATGGATTTACAGCCCTTTGCTAGCGATTGAGGTCGCTGAGATTGGTGCAACACTAATAGCCCTTTCTATTCCGGGAATCAGGCCGCTGGTAGAAGAGACATACAACCGTGTTATTATTTGGACAAGCAGACACTTCCCGTGCTGCTTCCGGAGGAGAAGAGACGACATGCACGGCGGCTCGTGGGACAGCGAGGCATCAACCTGGCGAAATGACCCAACACCTAGGCAAGCGGACTTCAAAATGAAGGATATCGAGGAGGTCCTCGGGCTGGAGCTTGAGGCTATCGAAAAGTACGAATCAAAAACGAAACCAAAACGTGTAAGCACGAAGCTGGACAGGGAAAGTAAGGTGGCAATTAAGGAGATGATGGAGAACCGCATATGAAGTAAAGCCACGAGCGGCACCCGAAAACATGGCTCGGCACAAAGCCTTGACTTTGGATCACAGGAATTCTGTTGGGCGATTCTTTCAGTAACAAAGATCAAGTCATTCTTGACTTCAGTACATAGCACTTTACAGGGTGTCCGCAAACGATGGCATCAAACAGCAGACGAAGTAATGACAAAACATGAATATTTCCTTTCTCACGAAGATCCATTGATCCCACAGACTGATGTCGCATTCCAAAACGCTGTCACCGCTAGCCAAACGCAACATGAGCGCAAAACATCGCCAAGCCAACACCGTGACCCAGCTGACAGCGCTATGCCACAAAAGCCCACGTAATCCATCGTCGAACCTCCCATCAGCTGAACCCGCGGCTCCCACACAGAAAAGAGTCATCCTTCCCGCTTCTGTTCAACGAGTCCAATAAAGTCCGCCCCTCTCAGCCAATCTCCGACGACAAAAGACGACCAAAAAGAGTTCCGATGGCTGACGATTAGAGTGGGGACCCTCAATCGACGCCGAACAAACGAAACAATCGAAGCCAGCCCAGCCCAATCTCCGTCCTCCCCTCGCGATATGCTTCCAGCCAGTCTTTCGCACAGCAAGCGCCAATGTGGTATGGGCTTGGACTCAACCTGGATGCCTCCCAACAAGCTCGAGGTTTTGTTCCTGAAAAGGTGCAGGGCAGCAGCTGGTTGGGTGGGGCTTAAGCGAGTGCTAAGTGGACGCTAAAGGAAACACTGAAAGAAGCTAGCGGGGCCGCTGCAGCCGCTGGAAGTCTATTCAGCGGGTAGCCCCCCCCCCCCCAGCACTGGACGAATCCCGCTCGCCCGCTGGAGCCCGCTGGCCCGTCACCCAAACGGTGGTGCAGCACCAGGCAGCCCGGGCAGCACCTGCAGCACCAACCAACGTCAACCTCGAGGTCTTGGGGCCTCCCTAGGGCGGTGTCCCACATCCCGTATCCGCTCCCGAGCCCGCTGCATCTCTCCGTCGCATGTCCATGACCGACCATTCTTCGAGCAACAACAAAGTGCGTGCGCTGCATCCTGACTGCCAAGTCGACGTGCGCATTCTTTGAACCTCATCAGCGTCTTTCTCGGGCAGATGAGCGCCTCCGTGGGACGCGTGTGAAGCGTGGCAACTCAGACCTCGACGGGCCAAAGCAGCAGCAACCATTCAGAGATTAGACGACGCAACCGATGCCAGAACCATCACTCGGCAGAGTATGCGGGCAAATTTCCTACTCTTGCCTCGAGATACGACGTATTCCAAGAACCTCCAACAATCGCCAAACGCCACTGCGGCCATGGGCGACTGTCCAGTCGGAGTTTCTCCTCGGTCCAATCCATCGGGTTCTCACCCCGCTGGTTACGAAAGCAGCTCCTGGTTTTGGTCTCCTCCTACCGACAAGAAAACGTTGCTCAAATTTCCCATACTTGACTCGAGGGGACTCCTGTTTCATGTTTCAACTCTTGCGTCGGGGTCACCCCGGCTCGCCCTCCAGGAACCGTCCACTCGGCGACCCGAGACAACGTCAAAGGCCAAGCTTGCTGCTTGCGCCGCGGGAAAGCTTGAACCAACCACAGCCCAGCCACATACTCCCTCTTCTCCCATCACCAAACCAGCAAGCCAGCCGCCCCACGTGCCATCGTCGCACCAAGAAACCCGCCAAGCCCCTCCGGAAGGAGGATCTGCAAAGGCTAAGCTTCGTAGCACATCTTGGGAGTTTCTTGGGTGTTTGCCCGTCTCTCTCGGCGCCAACGCCTCCCGCCCCGCAGCGCTCGCCCCCCCCTCTGGCCGCCGCGGCGGGCAGCCGGGAGACGAGCGAACGGAGATACGTCGGGCTTCACCTGACTCTGGGGTGGCTTGGCGACGTTTCGGCGGTACGCCGTTGACCCCGAAGCAGGCTACCCATTATCCCACATACGAAAACATGACGGACTCGTTCCCGCGGCCTGATTTAATTCCTCCGATGTCCGCCACTCGGCCGGAGACGCCGGGCGGCGGCGGCGAAGTGCCGACGCATCCCACACTGCGGGGGCTCAGCGAGGTCAAAAGAGCCTTCTCGTTATCGGAACCACTTTTGAGCGGACGGGACGCCGCGGGAGGTGATTTCATCGCTGTCGCCGGTTTCTCGTCGTCGTCTTTTCACTTCGGCTGATGGGTTGACATCTAGTTAGACTGGGTTTGCGTGGTTGGTGGGAACGGTGCCGACTGGTCGGCGACCTTTGACGCGATCACGATGAAGGGCGGCGGACAAATGGGCGGACAGCGCGTCTTGGCGTGGCGTAGCATGCCGTTTTCCCTTTTTGAAGGAGCAAGGTCGCCGACTGCGAAGATGAGATGGCGTCTTTGACACCTTGGATGCTTTGCGGCAGCTCTTTTTTGTCAAATCTCGAGTTTCCATCTGCATTTACACAATTGAGACGGACAAACGGAGAGGCTCATTGCCGCAGACCTAGTTAAGAGGCCCGATCTGGAATCGCATGCGCAAAGGAGAAATCGCTAATAGTGACCTTTTTCAGCAACAAAGATTGGCCTGAAGGTCTAGCCACGACGTCCAACTTGTCCACCTTGTCCACCTCGTATTCCACCACGGCTTTCAGGCCTTTTTGGGGAAGCCCGCGAACAGTATCAATCTCTTTCAATTTTCTTTGTAAATGGCACCGACAATTATCTGTCAAAGATCTCTTCAGAATCGCTTGTCCTCCATCACAGCAACAGACTCTGACACCGACATATCACTCACCCAAGAGTCAACGACGATGTCGAGACCAAGACCTTGCAATATCCAACCCTCGCCATCCAGCTGGATCCATGAAATGGGTGCGTTTCAACTTCTACATAATCAGACTCAAGCACGGAAAGGCTGACAAGGATTCAAAGCAACATTTCTTGAAAAGGTCGTCAACGAACAGCAATCGATGCTCTCGCCGAGACCCTTGGCCAGCTCGAGCGGCTGTTCATCTCGTAAAGCCTACCCGAGGTCCGGTCCAGCGGTTGAGCTGTCCAATATGCGCACTCGAGCTTCGCAAAGCCCGCAAAAGAACTACACGTTATCAAGTGGCCCTGATGCCACGTCCCAAAGATCAACGACTTCAGATCAACAACACGAACATCATGATTCGCGATAATTCCCGGCTTTGTACCGGAACACGTCCTGAAGAACGATTAAGTGATCACGATATCTGAAGATGTTAAGTTTAGATAATGACAGAGGTCTTCGAGCGTGGATGGATGAGTGATTTCATACTGCATCAATTATCATCATTATACGAGTCCTCATCTACCCTTTGTCGTACTTGACTTATCACGTCCATTCATGCGTGTTAAAGCAATACCTCATGCAAATTCAGTTCATACGATTTTGTTCATACGATGGTTATTTCTCTAATCGAACCCTGTCGTATGGCGTTTCGGAAGGTGGAAGAAAAATAGTTCTCTCATGCTTAAATCTTTATGCGTAATGAACACCGCCCTGCCATTGATGAACCATCAGTGAAGATGCATAGCCGGTCTGGGAATGAAAAAGCGAAAAAGAAGCCACCGGGTGGTTTTGAACCACGAGCACTTGGCAGGCTCGGCGCCACCGATTGGAGCTGGGGCCCTACAGACTCCGACACATGACTCTAACCTGCCCACCAAGGCTTCGCATCCAGTGGCGTGAGGCTCACGTCCCAATCCGTACTAAAGCCCAGTGGTCGAGAGGCCGGGTCATTGGTTCAATGATGCCATGAGTTGACCATTCACCAGTAGTATTGCCTAGTGCTCTCTCACTTTGACGTGCACCCTGGGTCCACTAGTGCGGCAGGCTGTGGACGCCTCAGACCAGTGGAAGCTTCAGCTCTGATCCACTATGTAATGAGCCAGTAAGATAATCGGAGACATCATTCATATCTCACTCCTCGATCAGCCACTTGGAAGGCTCGCGTGGTTCCGCATGGCCCGGCTCTGATTCCTTTCGCGTGCTGGAGACTGACGCTAGCAACCCGCGCCCCACTTTACCTACATCTGAATCTCCTTCGCGAATTTTCATCCTCTTGTTTTTCTTCTTCCTCAACGCACCATACTCATCAAGCCAGGCCGCGGCCCCGATTCGACGCAGCTGGCCAGGTAAGACCATTCTATCATAAAGACCGCCGTTCCAAGCATTATCTGACGCTCAGATCAGGCTCCGCGTACCTTCGCGCGACGATGTCGTTCACTGCCAACACCAATCCCGCCGCGCGCCGGGTCAACCACGACGTCCTCCGCCATATTCCAGGCCTCACTTGGACCATCCGAGCCGACTTCCTGCTGGGCGACGACCTCGCCTGTTGCATACTTCTGAGTCGCCGCCTTGCCAACAAGACCCGCAACTTCGAGCGCAACGTCTACCTCGAAAAGCTCCGAACCCGCCTGGCTTCCATGATCACCGACGCCCTGAACCACGTCAAGCTGGTCCAAGACGGCATTGAGGAATTGCGCAGCAACTTGCCGCATGTTCGCCGGAAGACGTTCTAGCAGCGCGTCTTCCTGACTCTCCGTGTCAAGCGCAGCTGGGAGGTCTACAACCCCATGGGAGAGCGCGAAGAGGAGCTCATCAATCGCTTCGCAGATGCTCGCGCCGACTACCTCGCCATGCATCTTCTGAGCTCTGTAGAGGGCCACGAGACCTACCAGACGCTCCTTGATGCCTTGGATCAGTAGAACGCGTCCAGGCATGATATCGCCCGTCTCTTCGTCGCTCCCACCGACCCCACCAGCAATGTTCAGCCCCTGCTTCTTGACAGCCCTGCCGATAAGCCTAGTCAACCGGTCTCTACAACGACAGCGGACATGGACAGGCCCACTGTACTTGACTCAGAGGTCGCCGTTTGCGCCCCTCTGCCGAGCTCGTCCGAGCCTAACCCGACCCCCATCGTCGACAGCCTACCCTACGCCAGCGCCACGACTCCTGGCAACGCCCCAGCCGCACCCGATGACGAGGCGCCCGTCTCGCGTGCTACACTTCGCTGGCTGTGGTCTCGCATCCTCCCAGGCTTCAATCAGCGAGAGACTATCTTTGAGAAGCGTATTTGGAAGGAGGATGACCTGGATGAGTTCATGCAAGAGTGCCCGTATCCCGTCTGAACATCACCGTGGGTGTAAGGAGAGCTCGAGAAAGTCTCACTCCATGCTTCTAAGACGTTGAGCTTCGTCGGAATTGCTCTGGGAGATTGGAATGCAGAAAGTCGGATTGAATGGGTTTTGAAGCTGGATTAGAATCACTTGGACGAGATGATAGAAGTCAATTCCACCACGTTATATGTTGGTTCCAAATTTTTTCTCAATAGCGTTGGTTCACGTATTTTCAAATTCCGTGGACATTTTCCTTTCGTGACACATCTGCATCATCATCACTATCATGGAGTCCGACAAAGGGCATGCGCGCAAACGAGCTCACCACTTGAGATTCAGTGATGACAGCGGCTACCTCAGTTAAACTGCGCTCTGATAGGTTGAGTCAAGGCAAAGGTGAAAATTGAGTGGGTCGCTCCAGGGGGTGGGAGCAGAGAGAGGGTCTTAGGCAAGAAACGATCGGGAATTCTCAGCAATCCTAGGGGAAAAGAGCTGGTTTGAGTCGGGTGGTGCAGTCGTAGGGCCCCGGCTTGCAGGTCATGCCGCGCCGGTTCATTAGTACCACTCTGGTCCACCAGAGAGCAAGGGTTCAACTCCATTTTTTGACTCTTTTTTCCCCTTTCTTTTTCAAGTCTTGTTTTCCGCACGTGTGTGTTTTGTCACTGCTGATGATGCAACTAGTGTTTGCCGAGTTCGTTTCTCGGCATATCGTTCGTTGCCATGTAGGTATGATTTGGCGATTGCGCCACCAGAGCGAACGAAGGCTTGATGCTGCTGCTCGGGTAGATTCAGGCGCTGAAATGGTCAGTTTGCATCGCCCAGCCACTTGGTTGGTACCTTTGTCTGTTGTGAGTAGACGAGCCTCAGTGTTCACTTTCGTTCCGCAAGACTCGCCATCATCGGTTATTTAACCCTGATGTTCTTGATGGACCAGTTCCTGGACGGGGCACGCCTACTACGCGGGATCGCCAAAATTCTATTCCAGATGGCGTTGTCGTTGAATCAAGGTGGTGGAGCCAAGCACGCCAAGGGCAAGGTTTCGGCGCCACCCATGTCGCGTGCCAATCATGCACTGCGGCTGCACCGAAAACAGCACTGTGGCTCTGCGCTAAGATGCGGTGGGTTGCAGCTGGTTTTGGGGGAAGATTGGGAAACAGTGCGGTTGCGACGCAAATCCCCGTGGCAAGGTGGCATCAAAGTGTCACTCAGCTTAGCAGCTGTTAAGATCCTGCAGCAGCTCAATTTGCGCAAAACAAAATGATTGTTCACGATCACATCAAAGGCTCGGTGTGGCTGGTGATGTACAATCGAGGCCCCACCGGCAGAAAAGAGGCTTGCCGAGGCGGTGAGCGAAGACGTCCTGGCAGCCCGAGATAAGATACTCTCGCCCTGCCAGGCGTTGCAATCAACTGATAAGGAGCCATTTACCGCTGATGAGGGATTGAGGCCGGTGAAAATACCGTATCGATTCTGCCAAATCGGTATCCATTTGCCTCGCTTTTACTTTGCTTTGTGTTTTTCATTCCCTGATCCTGTTTCACCAGCAGACAACAACAGGAATTTCTCTCCTGATACACCATGTCCAGCCAAGCTACCGCAATCTCCGGCACCACCGGCGCTGCTGAGAACACCATGGAATGGGATCATCCCCCGCAGAGACGCAATTGCGACTGTCCCTTGGTGTCCAAGTACGTCTCTCGTCGCCCTTCCTTCCCTTAGGTGCGTGGAACTAAAAGCTTCAGGCCTAGCATCGACATCAGCACGGACGATCGTGGTTTGTCCAAGATGGAGAAGACATTTCACTTCTCGAAGTTCTTTGCCAGCAGGGATTTGATCTGTGTTCATCATCTCGGCTGCAAGATCAAAGACCTTGAGTGGACCCTCAAGAAGACTCTCATACTTCATGACGAAACGCAGACGACCCTTCACGCCATCGAACAAATTGCCCCACGGCTAAGCGGCGCTACGCTAGTTCGGCCAGCCTTCAATCCGAGATCAAGCGCCTGCAGGCAATTGTGTTAAAGCTCCACAATGAGATTTAAGCTACGACGGCCAAGATCAGCTTCGCGACGGAAGAACGGGCCACTCTTGTTAGCCTGGCCAACGACATGGGCCTTGGCATCGAGAAACTGGCCAACTCGGTCAGACCCGACTACCCTATGCAGCAGGCCTTCGAGATCCTTGTTCGCGATGTCCACGAGGGCAAGATTGCTCTGCACGAGTCGGAGAAGAAGAACAAAGCGTTGAAGGAGGAGTTGGACTACGAAAAGCAATGCCATGCGGAGGAGATCATCACATTGGTCGAGGAGCGGGACGAGGCCTTGAGAGGTGCGAGCATACCTGCTCCCGATACGTACAACCACGAGGGGGTCCTTGTCGATCTGTTGTCTTGAGATTCAACATCTCATCCCTGGGAACTCTTATTGCGCGCTGTCGTAACGACATCGTTGGGACAACGCAGGACCTTGGCTTCACCACTCTATCCGGCAAAGAGCTGATCTCAGCGCAGAGGGGGTTTGTGTGAGAGAGAAGAAATGATTGTTCAAGTCTCTATGGTAGTTGCGAGGGAACAAGAAACTGTTGCCTGCGGTCAGGTTCTGGTCTCGTCACAATAAAGCTTTATGTGGATCAATCAAGGCCCGCAAGGCCGTTCAACAGGCCAACCGACCGAGCATCATGGCGTCAACCTTCTTCATCCATTATTGTTTTCCTCTCGTATCATCTACGGGGAGGCTCGTGGGTAAGCCCACGAGTCTTCCATTCCTCACCAGGTTTCTCCTCGTGCAGATGATAATAAGATCGACAATAAGCTTGGCACCGATGATGAGGATTCGACAGCATCACTTCGACCGGTCAGCTGGAGGAATTTGTTATGGCAGCCAACCTCAGAGATTGACCCAGAGTGGCCTTTTAGGTTGTGAGGCATTTGGGCAAGGCAACAGCTCTGATTCTGTAGACATACCAAGCACAATCTTTCGCTATCTCCATCGCCGTTCTACGGAGTGCCAGCTTGCCACTCTCCAACTGTCTTCGCGGGAAGTCACTCCCTAACAGTTCCCAAACGGATCAACCCACAATGCTGTCGGCCCCTCCGTTTTTCCTGAGCCAACTGTCGGACTGGCTTCTCTCACACTGACGCCTTAACGCTCTAGATATGTTCATCGCCTTCACTCAGAATGATTTTGTTTTTGTCTCATTCTTCAGCGATCTTCATGGCTTGCTATGCGAAGTGCTGTAAGGTGCAATGAAACCTCTATCAGTCTCAAGACGATTGCAATGGGTGTCTCGAAGTCTGCGTTCAAGACCATACTTCTTCCAAACTTCCGACAGCTCCTCGGGGTTCCGCAGCTAGGGAGTCTTTGAAGAACACACTCGTCAAAGAGGAGACCAACGGCCGATGCAACAGTAGCAAGGAGCCTTTCAAGTCCAGCAATGATGTGAGCAAGGTCAATGCGAGCAATTTCAATGCCAACCAAGCCTTCAATGACAGCAAGGCCAGGAATGGCAATCGAAACGTCAAGCATAATAGCGCAGGCAGTAACACGGACAGCGGTCTGAAACATCTCATCCGCCACGACTCCGACTATGTGGAATGTGAGGGGTCCTTTGCAACTCGCAATGTTGTCATTGTGCATCCGTCTGTTCGAAGCCAACAAGACAGTCAAACACAGTCTCAAGGTCAACATGCAATTTCGACGGCATTCCGAGGAACCTACAGAAACGGCACCGCTATCGACATCCCAGTGCCTGTGTAAGAAGATGTCATCACTCTCGCTTGCTTAGTACCACCAGCCAGATCACTACGGACCATACTTTGGCGCCCTGTTCCAGGATCGCTACAACGCCAACAGCCTTGCCAGCAAGGCCCGGATTGACGATATGGGTGAGACCGAGATGAATGAATGAAGAGCGGCACCAAGTGGTCTATCGGGATAGGAGACGCGCACAACACAACATTGTCCAGTCCCGTACTTAAAATGAGTAACGATGATACCTTTCGTCCGGAGCAGGGGCTCTTTGAGCCAAACAAGCATGTCAAGAACCAGCAGAGCCTTCTTACTCAGAGGGAGGCAGACTCGAAAAACAAGAACAGGTTCATTGTCTAGTTACGTAGCCAAGTCAAAGCTGAGTCCAATGATGCAAATACGTACTCGCACAAGGGCCTTTAGTCAGTCGGCTTGATTATTAGGGGCGTCTGGGGAGCGGTGAAGAGGACCTCCGTGACTCGATGTTTTCCACGGGGATACAGCCAATGCCTTCGGGCATTGTTTAGACGTTTTGGTAGCAGGAAAGGTCACAAAACAGGTGTCACTGTTTGTTTCTTTGAAAGTTACGTCGATGAATCTAAACTGCTACCTCTGTCCTCCCAGTTCTCAGAGGGCTACTCATGAAGAGTACGATTCATATGTCATTTCGCCCACGTGATCGTGTTTCCGTTGTTGCCGGCGGGCGTCATGACTTCTGTAAGAGTGTCGACCGCCCGTGAGCTCATCGCTTCCGAGCCAGGGCACGAATACGGTCGTAGTGATCGTAAAAGTTGTCACCCCGGTAACCGTCTGTCTTCCAGGGCTCATTATCCTCGACAATTCGAATAGAATACCTTCCGTGGGAAGCTCGCCCCGTCTCGGTCGACGGCCCTGTCGTCTGACGAAGCTTCGCTTCAGGTTTTCCAAGATTCCCACAATTTGAACGCGTGATCTGATTGCGCTGCTGCTTGGAACCAAACGGCTTCTTCTGTGCTTCCTCAATCTTAGCTGTCGTCATGGTTTGAAGATTAAGATCCCCCATGGCAGACGCCAGAGTCGCGGCAGCATCTCCCGTAGACGCTTGGGCTTTCTTGATCGCCTGCACTGAACGCTCCGCCATCTTCTTGTCCTCGGTAATCTTCATAAGCTTGGTTCTGAGGGCTCCGCGCTCCGTGTAGAGGTCCCAAAGGTGCTCCAATGAGGCGGTCCAGGACTTTGCGGAGCTTTTGGCGATGATGGAAGGAGTCTGTCGCATTGGATTGCCCGATGATGGGTCCTGCAAGAGATTGAAAGCTTCTCCGATGAGGTGATCTTGTTTCTTGATGGCCTCCTGGTAGGCGTTGGCTTCGATCTCGAGTTTCATGACGGTCGTTTCCAAGACAAAAAGACTGGTTCGTATGTCGTTGGGTTCTGTAGGGTCCAGTCCTTGCGTTCGTCGCTCTTGCACGTTCTTGACGGTCTAGCTAGTGTTCGAGGTGAGTCCATCAGCATGGAACCTTAGTGCCAATATATCGAACGTACCAGAGGAGGGGAGAAGATTCAGCCTTTTCGCAAAAATGCTTCGGGTCAGACGCCATGGTAGAAATACAGCGACGGTCGTTGAGGTATGGCTGGAGTAGCGATGACGGAGACCACTACCTTTCCGGGGAGCGTGGAATGTGAAGAGTCTGCCTCGCGTCCATCGATTGGTAAGGTACGGGAGTTTCAATTAGTCGCAGTAAGGAAGAACGTTGATGCCGGTGCCTGCCGCGATTATTGAGGTCGGGGTGGTGACTGCTAAGCTATTGGGGTGTACTGGATGTGGCCGGCCAAAATGCACTTGAGCTTCAGAGCGGGGCACCAAACCGCGAATCCTCCACGTAAAGATGAGCATCACGATGGCAGAAACAGAAGAAAAAACACAGATTCCGACCCATTTTCTAGCGGAAACAAAAATTAAAGTTGCCAAAAAGAAATACCAAATTGAGTAGGCAGGTCAGTACGGAATTCGAATGTTAGTATATGCCAGGCAAGATACCTCATTCACACGTGCCGAGTGAACCCGAGCTACCCGTGGTCGCAACGGTACAACCAACTAGGCCAAATGGCCCAGTGGCTGGCGAAGCGCCCTTTGGTGACAGATTCCAGAATTATTCCAAAGGATATAGCATGCCGCGAGTTTGGTGCCGCCCCTGGAGCCTCTGAGCCGCAGAACGCCCCACTTTACTTTCACCTCACCTGTGCTCCAAGCTGTCTTCGATTTCAGGAAGCAGGTGAATTCAGGCTCGCCAGTACCTATGAACTGCATTCCTTTCCTTCATCCCGAAATATTCTTTTCACTCAAGTCACCCAGGCGTCGACTGTTATTTTCCCACATCCACCTACGACGCTTCCTGACCGGCGACGAAAATCAGCGTCAACCTTGCAACCCCTTTCGACGTCGCCTCCTGTCGTCTCTGGCTTCATCTTTGCCGCCTTCTTGCATCGTTTTCTCCATTGTATTCTCATCCGCATCAGTAACGCCGTTTTGCTGTGGCCGTCGCTGTCGTCTGACCATTTTCCTCTTGTCCCGAAGCTCGCGCCCCCAACCAACCTCAGAAAAGGTAGTCAACAAGTGTGCCAGCCCTCACTTACTTCATAATCTAATCTCCAGTCACAGTGAATCTCATTTCCGCTCGAGTCACCATGTCGTTCGCGGTCGATCCCCATCACCTCTCCTTGATGGCGAAGAGCATGACCATCAAAGGTTTCTCGTTCACGGGCCATCTCGAGACTGCGCACAAGAACCTTCCCCAGGACCTCATCGAAACTGGGCATCGTCCTATGTTCAGATTCATCTACCTTGATCCTGCCCGCCGCCCGTTCATTACCAAGAAGACGAAGGTGGCTGCTCGAGTCACTTCCATCGTCCGCGCTGCTCTTATGGTGGCCAATGTCAATGACCTAGGCCCTCAGCACATTGAAAAGGCCCTGTTCTGGGATTGGGTCAAGGAAATGCTGGTCAGCGACGACATCTTCGCATCAGCTACGGCCGAGGAGACTTTGGAGTGGAAGTTCATTGTTGAGCTTTTCTATGCAGCCTGGGTTGAGTTTGCCAAGAGCCGCCCTTACGACACCAAGCGCTTTGTCGCCGGTCCTGATAACGACGACTACAACTTCTGGGATCTCCATCTTGCTATGGCTGATTGGGACCACTTGATAGGTGGCAACTTCGGCGCCAACGCCGACATGAAAGGCTTCAGAATTATCGAGGATCGCGAGCGCAAGGAACCCTCCAGCAAGTACTACTTCAAGATGGATGGCAGCAACAGAGCCAAAGACGCCTCTCTCGGCCATTGGTCTTCGGGGTGGTCGATGTGCATGAAGAAGATGATGGAAAGAGCGGACGGTGTCTTGGAGCAGGAGCAGGAGATGATGCGCCTCTCCGCCATAGATAACATGGACCGAGACCGTCGCATCGGAGAGAAGACTTCTCAAATGGAGGAGCTTGACCGAGAGATTGACGAGCTTAAGGCCCGCCTTGCGAAGTACGAGGAGATGTCGGCGCACGAAACCGCCGGTGCTACTGGCCTGAACGATGAGGCCGTCAGCAATAATGAGGTGGTCACCAGCAGCGTTGTCAACCTCGCTGACCACAAGATCAAGAATGATGAGGGCTATGCCGACGATGATCATGCAACCACCGAGGCCGAGAACACTGCAGACCAGGACAGCGTTGCCAAGCAGGGCCCCGAGACGATGAACGCCGACAAGGACGCCGCGATCCAGATCAAGGCTATGGCTACCAATTACGGTCAGACAGCTGCCATTGACGAGTCTACCGTCGACAAACCTACCGTTGACAAGCCTACCGTCGATAAGCCCGCCATCGACACGGCCCCCACCTCTCTCGATAAGGGCCCTCCTATCCCTGGTCCAGCGACCAAGACGTCCAACGACTTCAAGTCGATTGAGGTCATTGACCTCACCGCTCATTGAGGGACCTCCGACGTATTCAGAGAACAAGAAGATGCCCACGGCAGGCAAGTCAAGGAAGCGATCATTGGCAGGGAACGATATAGACGGTTAAACGTTGTCAATGAGATGCATCCGGCGTTGTCTAGATTCGTTAGGTCTCTGCTAGAAAGGGGTGTGGTATGAACCAGAGATATTAGAGGAAGGTTGACACCAAGCTGTTTCTAAACTAGGATGGAATCGCCATAGACTTTGCACACGAGCCTGTAGAATAGAGCTGAAATGGATTTGGCATTGGCATCGCCACTGCCTACCCTCGCTACTGATAACTCCTTCTTTATATTTTTCTTAGCACGTACTATTAGTACGTTATACTAACCCACACTATATTCACTAATACTACTAATTTCTTCCTTTCTTTAGCTATAGCTAAAATTAAGGAAATACCTAGTATTAAGCCCCTAGTTACACTAGTAATATAGTTTTAGTTTATCTTACTATTTATAAAACTATAACTACTAAATACCACTATTGTAATAAACTTTAATTTTTGTTAATAGCTTTTTAGAGAAGTTTTATTATTTAAAACTAAAAAAAAAGGCTATTTAGAACTTACTACTAGACTTTTTGAGAAGTATTTTATTACTATTAAATTATTCGAAAATAATATATAATATATTTATATAAAAACCAATAATAAGCTAAAACTAGATTTTAATTATATAGAGATTAAGTGAAATTATTAATTTTTAGAATATATTTAATTATATTAGAATAGCTTTCATTAATAGCTTCTAAACATATTTTATAATACTAAAAATAGAAGAATAATATTATAAAATAGCTAAATATTTTAAAAGATTCTTTATAATAGCTTTTAATTATAATTTCTATAGATAACAGCTAAAAATTATTAACTTTATTAATAACTTTATTATTAAAAATAGAGGAAACTTAATTAACTTTTAGTTAGAAATAGCTTAATATACTAATTATAGAAATAGTAGATACAATATTTAAAACTTAATAATAACTTATAATATATAGCTTAGTTAAAGCTAAATTATAGTTTAAAATAAAGTTTAATAGCTTAAAAATGCTAAGTTTATAAATAACTAACTTTTTATTAAAATCCTAAAAAGTATTAAATTTAAATATATATATTTATTAATCATCTGTAAAGAGATGAAAATATATTATAAACTATAAAATAGTAATATTATAAAAACAATTAGGATTTAAATTAATTTCACGCTTATTTTAAACTCTAATAAAATTTAATAGAGACTATTTAATAGTAGCTTTAAACTATTTAAACTATTTAGTATAAATATTATTACATAATTTATAATTTAGATTATATATATAATTTATAATACTTTAATTATAAATTCTAATTTTAGAAGAGAGTTTATTAATATAAAGCTAATGTTTACTAATAACGTTTTTTAGTAATTAACACTTAAGTCTGTAAAATATATAACAAGTACTTATATTAATAAATAAATTCTATAAATTTAGATTATTATGTTTAAGAAAATACTTCTAGTTAAACATTTTACTCTATAAAATAATAACTATACTATTAAGCTTGAACTAAAAATAAATATTAAGTAGTAGTTAAAATATTTTAACTAATATAAACTTGAACTATATAAAAAAAACTAATACTATTATAACTATAATTCTAAAAAGGCTTATAAAAACTACTATCTCCTAACTTAATATACTAATTATAAAGGAAATTATAGAAATACTAATAATAAATACCTACTAAAGCTTAAGAGACATTATAATAAAATTATACATTTTAATAAGGCTTAGAAGAATAACATCATCTAAAAAAATATAAAAACTAAAAACATTATAGAGGAGAATACTACTATAAAGCCCCCTATATAATAAATATACCTTACTTTACTAACTAAAATATAAAACTATAACTACTTTTTATTACTAATTAAAACAATAAAGTTTAATATCGTTAAAGCTTTAAGAAAAAATACTCTAAAAATAATATTATTTCTATCTCTATAAAGCTTAAAACTTTAATTACTTTATTATTATATAAATAGAGGATTTATAGTATTTTAAGTAAATATTACTAAATACTTAGAAGTATATAGCTTTATATTATTATATAGGTATAAAGCTTGTCTTAACTTAATATTTACATAGAAACTTTAGGTTTCTATATATAACGTGGTTCATCAGTCAGCCGGCTGGACCAGTCAGCCAGACGTTTGTTTCCCACGTACACAATAATATCTAGTATTTCTCAACCATAACGTATTAAATCAACTATTAGTTATCGCTATCAGAATCTCCTGAGGGTTTGACATCTTTGGAACAGGTTCGCGCGTTATGCTCAGTCTCACCACATATACCACAGCGTCTCCGAGCTGGCTGGGCTCTCTTTAATGGACCCCCCTCGTCGTCCTCTTGAGGTGCTAGATGTTTCCCTTTTTGTTTCCCTTCAAGCAAAACCTAAGATTCCTCTATACTAAGTGCCCCTCTAAGCTGGACCTATATTCTTTTAGCCCTCTAGCGCTTAATAAGTGCTATATTTATATTCTTAAAGGTATAAAGCTAATTAGTTAAAATAGTAATTAAGTATGCTATTGTCATGGGCTAGAGCCTGGATTGATATCTCCGGCTTCGCCGGAGCAGTTAGTGAGATCTGGCTCCGTTGGACCCACTATTCTGCCGCAGTACGCCGCCTAACCCGGCCTGCTTCACCGCTGTTAGGTGCCTACCCTTGTAAAGTCCTTTCTTCCTTCTTCAGCTTAGAATAGTCAATCGACGGCACCTCTACGTTGAACAAGCCTAGGGGCCAGCCCCTTACAGCTATTACTTATATACCTTTTAATAATTACTTAACTGCAGTAATAATTAATATTAATAAGCTTCCTTAATAAGTAGAGATATAACTTTTAATAAAGTTAAACTATAAGATAGTTTATTATAAGTTAGAAGGCGTTTGTAACTGCTAAGGTGGAGGTGTTAAAGGGTTAGCTATAGGAGGTATAAGCATCTATAAATATATATTAAGCTTTTTAATAATATGGTCTAGGTCCTATAGTGAAATTCCAACGCCTTAGAAAACAGACCTAATATTTTCCTGATTAAAAACCTTATTATAGGCCTAGTGGAAGGCAATAAAGAACTCAGACTTAGTGATGTGATTTATAGAGGCTCTAATAATTAGTTAATTTTATTACTATATATATGTTTTAAAGGCTAATAAAAAGTAATACCTAATAGCTGTAGTAGATATAATAAATATATAGGTATACTAATAGTTATAATATTATTCTGCTTATAGTAATTATTAAATTTAGCTGATAAATAGCTTTTATAGCTGTTAATAATCAGTATCTAATAGACGCCCTTTATTTAGTTCTAAATATATTTATTAAAATATTTAATTTAGTTAAGACCTATCTAATTATCTATCTATCTATTAGCAGTAGGTTTAATCACCTAGTTACTTAGAAAACCTGATTCCATAGTCTAACTAGTAAGGTGATATACACCCTTAACAATTATAAACAGAGGGATATACCACCCACCTAAATTAATATATTTAATAACTATAGCTTATTTATAATTATTAGGCTGGACAGACTTTGCTTTACTATATTAATCAGTATACATAACCACTATTAACATAATGATCATACCTATTATAAAGCTAGTTTTGTCAAAACTATATAGGTCCCCCTCTTAGATGCTATACTTAGCTATTATGTTGCATAATAGCGCAAACTACTTTGATATAACCTTAGGATCTTCTTAAAAAGCCTTTTAATCATTATATAGATAATTAAACTTAGTTTTCAGAGCAGGCTGTAAGTCTACAAACCACCTAGCCTATTGCTTGCTAATAGGCTTGCTATTATAGGCTTGCAGCAGGAGATTAGTGTTACGACCCGTTATGTGTGGATAACAGTTGACCGACCCACTTGGGCATCGGGCGGCTAGGATAAGACATTTGTACTGCAGGATCACGGGAACAACAGGGACTCACTCGGAGACGGAAGAACTATGGTACAAGTCACGTGACGATAAGAAGGACCGACGAGAGATAAGCGGTCCTGATCTAGGACCGACATGAAGAAAGCGGTCCACACCCGGGGACCGCCCGGAAGACATCGGTCCTCAGTTTAAAGAAACTACTTAGACTTGTATATAGTATGACCCTGAGCCTGGCTCATGGTCAGACTTCCATAGCTCTTCAGCAATCAACTTAGTATTTATCCTCACGGATACTCTCAGCTTACCTTCACTGCGAATCACTTATTGAGTCTAAGACTGATCACCTTAGCCTCTGAAGACCCGATCTACTACAGCCTACGAACTACGACCTACGACCACGACCCCGTGTACTGTTAGAACGTATCAATCCCCAGCTTCTGTTAGCAGACCCTACTGTCGGATAGCTGACCGTAACACTTTGATTGCTCCTGTTCAGTAAGTTGACCATTGATTCCTACTAACAGTAACGAACGACAATGTCTTCCCGCGCCTCTGTCAAGTCGCCTACCCCGGGATCCTCGTCCACTTCAGGAGGACGAGCCACCCAAAACCTAGCCCAAGAACTAGGAGACCAGAAGATGAAGGACGACTCAGACAGCGAGGACGACACCGAAGAACTCAAGCGCCAGCTCGACAAGACCAACAGCGACTTCAAAGCAATGCGCGAAATATTCAACCAGAACGCCGCAGCCCTTAGCGAACTCCAGGAACAAGCCCGCAAGAACCAGGATCTGGAGAAAGAAGTCGCCACTCTCCGAGCTGCCGCCAACGTCATATCCGCCCCAGTCGAAGGACGAGAACGCCTCAAGCTCAACACGCCTTCCACTTTCGATGGGACCCCGGGACAACTCAAAGGACACCTGGTACAAGTTCGAACCTACCAGGCCTTCCACATAAACACCTTCCAGAACGACACCGAACGCGTTGTGCACGCAGCCACCTTCCTTCGGGGACGAGCCCTTGCCTGGTTCGAACCCCTTCAACAG